ACATTTAATTTTCTAATGATGCTATTACTATTAGTTACTTTGTAAAATTAGATAGAGCAATCGATATAAATATTATCAATATAAGTTTAGAGTAATTGATTATGCATATAAAATATATTATTCTCATGATTGTGCTTGATTAAATATTTCAAAACCATTCTCAATTTTTCTTATATTACTAATTAATTATCGACTGATTAAAAATGAAAATTCTGTAATTTTTCAAAATTAGTTAAATAGATAAATTGTTAATTAGAAATCAACTCAGAAAAAATGTTTTTATTGTCACAACTAAAACAGAATGAATATAAATATTATTTAATAATCCTTTAAACTAAGATTAGAAATCAAAGTCTTTATTTTAAATTTCTATTAATAACTATTCATGTTCCACTAAATATTTATCATATTATAAACAAGTTTAGAAGAATAGATCAAAATAACTTAGATCTAAATAAAATAATAATTTTTGAAAATATTTACCTTCTAAATAAAATAGAGAAGATAAGAGAGATTTTATATCTTAAATTTATAAAATTAGGGTAATTTTTAGAAAATCAAATTTAATGATATGCAAAAGCCAAAATTATTTATTAAATATTAAGTCATTATTTTTTTAATATAGGGAATTTATGCCAGTAGATACATTTTGAGGAATAGAAAAGAAAGAGTAGGAGGAGGAATTTGGATAGAGCTGTAATACTACTTTTTATTGTTGAATATAAAGAAGTAGTCATTTTCTAAAATTTGATATTGAAAATAGACAATTAATATCAAAAAAAGCAGAAAGAAATATTGGATGATAAAATGTCGCAATAGGCATTCTCTAAATTATCTACAACAGGATATTTAGAATAAAATAGTGCTCTTGAAAAGTATATGGCTTGAGAAAATCATCCATAAGTAGATTTAGAAGCATAAGAAGAAGATTATGTTTTTATGTATTTATTTATTTTAGCTTATCATTCTTATGATTCTAATTTATTTAATAATTTTTACATCTCTTCTGTATCTTTTTATGTTCATTTCTGATTTTTATCATGTTCTAGAAAACTTTAGGTTTTTGTTCTTTTTATAATTTAAGCTATTAAATAAATAAAAAATAATTTACCACTTAACCAACTTCTATTATTGTTTATGATTAAGCTAATTTAATTATTTTATTAAAGAAACGACTTAACCTTCTTCTAGTTAAATTTTTATCCTGAATAATAAGAGATTTATCATCACCAAAAATTAACTTAAATAGAACTACTGCTAGATCATAGTTGATTTCTAAATAATATTTCAAATAGCAAAAATACTAATTTTCTAAGTTGCTTCCTAGATTATCTTAAAATGTTGTTTATTCATTTATTACTAATTTAAATCGTTATTTATACCATCACAGCTTGAATTCTCATTCTAACAAAGACACAATCTATTATTGTTATTCAACTATTAATAATATATCTAATTCATCCATCTAACACAAACTAAAATCAAATTATTAATCATATCAAAATTTATATGCATTTGTTTGCCTGCCTATTATTCTTAGAGCATTAAAATACTTTCAATAATATTATTTCCCAGTTCAATAATATCTTATTTTCCCTCAAATTCATATAAATCTTGATTATTAAAAATATTAATCAAACTAAATGCAAATTTAATAGATTATTAAGCATTTACATAATAAAAATTGAATATTTATTCTTAATGACCAGAAAGGATTAAAATTATCTCATGTTATTAGCAATAATTTTTTAATTCTTGATTAAATTATACACAATCAACTGAGTCAAGTTTAACTTTCATTTTATGGATTTTTTTAAATATATCTTTAAGGACCTTTTCATTTCTAATGTATAAATTATTAATCTTAAATTTTATCTTTGTATTTGAACAAAAAATATCACTAATTATGTACAAATTTTATGATTTACTCGATATATGATTAAATTTATCATTGATTAATTCTTCTTCCTTTTGAATTTAGGAAAGACCTACTTCAATTATTCTTCCAAATTCCTCTAGTTCAAGCTGAGTAACTTATTTATGATTAAAATCCCTATTTTCTTATGACATCTAGTTTCTTAAATTTATGGGGTGATCTTATTGATGTTGTTCATCATATTCCTCTTATAGGTTAATTTATTATTCATAATCATGGTCTAATTAGTTAAATATTTGTAATTCATGATATTAAAGTTAATTATTTTTTGATTCCTCCTCATTTTATTAAAGGAACTTTGTTGATGAAAAAAAATTCTGTTCTTAATTATAATTTAGTGATTGATAAGGTTGATTTTGTTGATCATATATTTATAGCTGACCTTAATTTCTTAATTGATCTACCTACCTTAATTATTTATTATCAACTTCAGATTATTAAAAATTATCTGAAGATTTTTCTTATACATCATTTATTGTTTCATATAAAATGAAGGGGCTTTCTAAATATGCTTTATTAATTTGCATTTTCAAAAAAATATTAAATTAAAATCAATGAGACAGAATAATAACTTTGAAAAATTTATTTATAAAAAAAATCAATAGAATTATTACTTCAAGAAAATATTGGAATAAGTAAAATATAACAACTATTTTTAATAACTGCAAAAAGGCTTAATAAAATTGTTTTTTCTATTAAAAAATCTTAAACTGTATCAATCTATAATAAGATATGAATATTGTTATCTAATTGTAGAATCAAATAGATGTTCTAACATTAATATTATTGTAATTAACATATTTGATATTATCTTTATAATGTGCTACAAACAGAGCTTAGAAAATGATATAAAAATTAGAAATAATTAATATAAAATATGAACAGCAATCAGGTTATTTTAAAATGACCTGGATAAATAAGATATAAATATTAAATTAACATGATACTTTAAATATTAGTTTCAATATAATTATAATTCTATATATATTTTTATTAAATTTATATTAAATGATTAATAATAAATATTATCCTAATACTAAATGAAGGAATAAAGTTTACAAATTAATTGAAATTACAGTTTAATAAAAAAATAAATATAATTACAATAAAATGGCTAATATAACTTATAATCAATTATTAGAGCAGATGGAAAATCAAAGCAATATTAGAAATATATCTGTGATTAGCCAAATAGATCATGGAAAATAGACTCTAATAGATCGTATGCTTCGTAGAGCTGGCATAAATCTGATGGATCAGTCTCGAGAAGAAATAATGATAAATAAATGTGCTAACTTATCACTATATTATTAATACGATAGATAATTGAATGGTACAAATGAATCATTTATATTGAATTTAATTGATCCTCCTTAAATTCCAAATTTATGTTCTGATTCTATTTTAGGTTTGAGAATATCAGATGGAGTCTTAATAGTAGTTGATTATGTTGAGGGAGTTTGTACACAAATATAATCTACCTTATAACTAATTATGAAAGAGAAGATCAAGCCAGTGTTAATGATTAATAAATTGGACAGAGCAATTTTAGAATTGTAATAAGACGGTGAAACAATTTATCAATCTCTGGTAGAAATAATTGAAAGAATAAATGTGATTTTATATACTTACTAATAAGATGATATGGTAGATCTTTTAATTAAGCCAGAAGAAGGACGAGTTTCATTTGGATCAGGTAAGGAAGGCTGGGCATTTACATGTTGCTAATTTTCTGAATTATATGCTAGTAAATTTAATACTGAATCTAAAAAATTATAAGAAAAGTTTTGGGGAGATAATTATTTTGAGACTGAAACAAAATGTTGGAAAAAAGATAATAATAGTAATACAGGTAAAGAATTAAAAAGAGCGTTTGTTGCTTTTATTTTAGATCCAATTTGTAAAATAGTAAAAGCAATTATGGATGGAAATATAGAAGTTGTAAAAAAGATGTTGAATTCATTAAAAATAGAATTGAATGAAGAAGAGTCAAATTTGGTTGGTAAAAGTCTACTATAAGCGGTGATGTCTAAATGGCTTAATGTTGCAGATAATTTGATTTAAATGATAATTTTACATTTACCATCACCTAAATAAGCTTAGAAATACCGAACGTCATATTTGTATGAAGGTTCATAAATAAATGATGTTGCATAATCTATAAGAGATTGTAATCCAAAAGGTCCTTTAGTTATTTTTATATCAAATATTTTATATGTTGGTAGAGAAAAGTCAATTGCTTTTGGAAGAATCTTTTCAGGAACAATTAAATTAGATTAGAAAATCAGAATAATGGGACCCAATTTTAAACCAAGTTCAAAGGAAGATATGTTTATTAGATAGATAGGAAGAGTCGTTTTGATGACTAGTAAAAGAATTGGATGTATTGAATCAGATATACCATGTGGAAATCTTATTGGATTAATTGGAGATTGTCATATGTTAACTCACTCAAGNATAATTACAATAAAATGGCTAATATAACTTATAATCAATTATTAGAGCAGATGGAAAATCAAAGCAATATTAGAAATATATCTGTGATTAGCCAAATAGATCATGGAAAATAGACTCTAATAGATCGTATGCTTCGTAGAGCTGGCATAAATCTGATGGATCAGTCTCGAGAAGAAATAATGATAAATAAATGTGCTAACTTATCACTATATTATTAATACGATAGATAATTGAATGGTACAAATGAATCATTTATATTGAATTTAATTGATCCTCCTTAAATTCCAAATTTATGTTCTGATTCTATTTTAGGTTTGAGAATATCAGATGGAGTCTTAATAGTAGTTGATTATGTTGAGGGAGTTTGTACACAAATATAATCTACCTTATAACTAATTATGAAAGAGAAGATCAAGCCAGTGTTAATGATTAATAAATTGGACAGAGCAATTTTAGAATTGTAATAAGACGGTGAAACAATTTATCAATCTCTGGTAGAAATAATTGAAAGAATAAATGTGATTTTATATACTTACTAATAAGATGATATGGTAGATCTTTTAATTAAGCCAGAAGAAGGACGAGTTTCATTTGGATCAGGTAAGGAAGGCTGGGCATTTACATGTTGCTAATTTTCTGAATTATATGCTAGTAAATTTAATACTGAATCTAAAAAATTATAAGAAAAGTTTTGGGGAGATAATTATTTTGAGACTGAAACAAAATGTTGGAAAAAAGATAATAATAGTAATACAGGTAAAGAATTAAAAAGAGCGTTTGTTGCTTTTATTTTAGATCCAATTTGTAAAATAGTAAAAGCAATTATGGATGGAAATATAGAAGTTGTAAAAAAGATGTTGAATTCATTAAAAATAGAATTGAATGAAGAAGAGTCAAATTTGGTTGGTAAAAGTCTACTATAAGCGGTGATGTCTAAATGGCTTAATGTTGCAGATAATTTGATTTAAATGATAATTTTACATTTACCATCACCTAAATAAGCTTAGAAATACCGAACGTCATATTTGTATGAAGGTTCATAAATAAATGATGTTGCATAATCTATAAGAGATTGTAATCCAAAAGGTCCTTTAGTTATTTTTATATCAAATATTTTATATGTTGGTAGAGAAAAGTCAATTGCTTTTGGAAGAATCTTTTCAGGAACAATTAAATTAGATTAGAAAATCAGAATAATGGGACCCAATTTTAAACCAAGTTCAAAGGAAGATATGTTTATTAGATAGATAGGAAGAGTCGTTTTGATGACTAGTAAAAGAATTGGATGTATTGAATCAGATATACCATGTGGAAATCTTATTGGATTAATTGGAGATTGTCATATGTTAACTCACTCAAGTACTATATCAGATCATCCTGAATGCCATTTAATTAGATCTATTAAATGTTATGTTTCTCCTGTTGTTAAAGTGTCAGTTTAAACAAAAAAACCTCAAGATTTACCTAAATTATTGGAAAGATTAAGATTATTAGCTTAAACAAACTAAATGATAGAATATTCAGTAGAAGATTCAGGATAGCATTTTATAGGTGGACGCAGTGATTTAGATATTGAAATAGCTTTGAATGAATTACAAACATATTTAAATGGTGTTGAAATAATAAAGTCTGATCCGATTGTTATTTATAAAGAAACTATCACTTCACATTCTAAAGTAGTTTGTATGGCTTAATCTACTCAAAATTAAAATGATAGATTATATGCATAGGCTGTTCCTGTGAATGAAAACCTTCAAATTGCTATTGAAAAAGGATTAATAACAAATAATTATAGAAGCAGAGCTAATATATTAATAAATGAATATGATTGGAACAAAGATGATGCTCTTAAAATATGGGCATTTGGACCAGATGACATTAGTCCTAATATTCTATGTAATCATTCTACAGCTGTTGAATATATGAATGAAATAAGAGAATCTATGGAATTTGCTTGGTAAATATCAACAAAAGAAGGAGCTCTCTGTTCAGAAAATTTGAGAGGTGTTAGAGTAAACATTCTAGATTGTGTTTTATAAGCAGATACTATTTAAAGAGGAGGACCTTAAATTATATAAACTGCTCGTAGACTATATTCTGTTTGTGAATTAACTGCAGATCCTAGACTTTAAGAACCTATTTTATTAACTGAAGTTTCTGTGCCAAATCAAGTTACAGCTGGTGTTTATTAATGTCTTAGTATGAGATAAGGTATTATAATCGAGGAAGAATAAATAATAGGTACATAATTAACACGTATCAAATCATATTTACCTGTTACTTAATCTTTTGGTTTTGCTACACAGCTTAGAGTCTTAACTTAAGGTTAAGCATATCCTACTTGTCAATTTGATCATTGGGCTATTATTAATAGTGATCCATTTGAATTAGGATCGTCAACTAAACAATTAGTTCAAAGCATTCGTAAAAGAAAAGGATTAGAAATTTAATTACCTAATCAAGAATGAATTTTATATTTGCCCTATAAAATGTTTATTTTATTATTGTTTTTCTACTAAATAATGATATAATCTAAACTTTTGCAATTTAATTTTATATAATCTTTCCAATTACTTTTGATTATCATATGATTTAGAATCTTGCCCATAATTTTATTTATTTAAAAAACTTTCGATTATAATCTACATTTCTATTATTTTATAAAATTATTGATATTTTAAATTAATATTTAAGAACGATATTAGGAAAAAAATATTCAACTAACTAAATTTGAATAATTTTATAACAAATTATAGACTAGAATTAAAAATATTATTACTTTGATAATTAAAATAATTATATTAATTAAAATTGAAAATTAGTGAGCAGATTTAAATAATAGTTTATTATAATAAATAAAAATCATTTTTATTTAACGCAAGCACAAAATTCACCTTTTTTAAGGGGAATATCTGTGCAATCTCTATCCTCCGAAATTACTGATGAAAAAAGACTTTTGTCTAAGATTAGAGGGTTATCAGAGGTAAAAAATTGTAAGGTATAATGAATCTCAAAAGAAGTAACAACTTTTTATTAGTTTTCTTTAAATCTAAGATAATAAATTAATAATACGCTTTTCGTTCTCTCTCTTCAATTAAATCTTTATCAATCAATACAAAAAGTCCTGGAAGAGCCACTTCAATATGATAGATTTCAGCTTTCATCAAATAATATGGACCTTACATATGCAATCCATGATCAGAAACCATCATTATATAAGATTGTTTATGGTGGTTATTTTCAATAAGCCAATTCAAAAAATTGAATAAAGGATCATCAAAATGATTTATAGCATCACCTGTGCCTTCATGTCCATCCAAAAAGTACAACTCTAAGTACTTAGGAACATCATGGTAGGTCTATAAGAAATCTCTTCCATAATCAAAAACATATTAATTGATTTCCTTACCATATAGACATTTCTTTACGACACTATATGGTCCCTTGAAAATTCCAAATTAGTTATTTGGACGCATATAATTAGGATCACATATACCACTTACAAATTCATGATCAATTGGTTAAGGTTGCATTATGTCAGCCTCTACCAATTCATGTTCAGTAATAGAATTTCCACATATTGTTCGTGATTTTGCAGTAATATATCCTGCTTCTTATAACATTTAAGTTATACTCTTATATTTTGATTAACTTTATTCTTCAATAATTGATTCATTTTGATAAGCTCCTGTTGTGCTCCAAAATGTATTTTTAGTAGATTTTTTAAATTGATATTATACACCATATTCGTATCCATAAAAATTAGGAGTTGTATGAGTTCCTACAGCCATATATCTAAAAGCTTAAAACATTTAGTGAGTATCCTAAAATTCATGTTCCTATTAAGCAAACCATTTAGATGATTTCTTTAATTTTTTTATAAATCTTGTTCTAGACACTGCATCTACAAATATTGTTATTATGCTTTTAGGAAGTTTACGATTCATTTAATTCTAAATATTAGTGTAAGATTTTGATCTTGATTCAATCAAACTTTCATTTCTTTTTATTTTCGTTACATACTTCATCTATTCCAAATCTAAATAAGACTCTGCCTATTAACTTAATTCATTTAAATCTTTCAAAAATTACATTTTTGATAATACATATTGTTAAAAATCTTTATATGGACAAAATCTATATTTCTCTTCAAAATATTCAGTTCTTGGCATCTCGATATATTTAGTGCCTTCAGGTATTTATACATAACTCTTATATTATTCTATCCATTAAGGATTGATATCTTTAGATTGACTTGTACAATCATAAATTTTTGATGCATCCATAAATCCATCAAAAATATCATACCAACACACAGAAGGTTCAACTATTTAACAATACTTCCCAGATTAATCTATTGATTGTCCATTCAATCCTTTTTTCCAATCTACACAACTATTATTAATTTATATTTTAAAATATATCAAAATTACTAAAATTATCATCCCTACTATTAATAAACATTTCATTCTCCATCGTATCCAACATTTAATGAAGTTTACTAAAATTATAGAAATAATTCCAAAAATTAAGATGAACAGAATCTCAAAAAATTAATAAACTATTTGATAATTTGTTGTACTCATAACATGATCTTCAATAAAAATAACTTTCATTAGAAAACATACAAATAATCCAATATATAATTTGCTAATTAAATTTCTTAAAGCCATGAAAACAACCAACACAAAAAGCCCTGATGATGAAATCGAAACAATTATTAGCTTTAATATTTGAGGTTTCAACCATTCCTATATACATTTACTATCTGTATTATAAGGACATATATCAAATAAATTATTGTAAAGCAAAATAGCAGCCACAAAAAAAAACCCTCCCATTAGATTCAAATAAAGTCTGTGTTTTTGCAGGAATTTTACCTCATTTTGTATCATTATAGCTTAAGAAGTCATATCTATATCACATTTTATAAGTGCTTCATCTTCACTAAACTGCATATGCAATTTTGAATTATTTTATTAAAAATAAATTTATTCAGTTGCTGTTACTATATTATAGCCATTTTAAATTCAATTATATTAAGACTATCTAGTTAAAATAAACATTTACCATTTTAAGGTTAGAGAATCCTTTTTTATCTTAAAAGAACTTTATGATAAAAATTTTTGATTTAAAAATACAAAAAATGCTAATATTTGTTTATGAAATTTGTTTGGCATTTTCACATTATTTTTAAAATCACTTTATCTATAATTATCTTTTTCCTAAATTATAAAAAAAAGAATCTAATTTCAATCACTTAAGTACTTTTAGTGTTAAAAGGATTAAAAAAATAATATAAAATACTAGGATAAAGATAACTAAAAAATAATCATAAAAAATAAAAATTGTTTTTTATATAATCGCTAGAGCTAGCTCAAAAATTAAATGCTGTTACTATACTACAGATTAGAAAACTCTTAGAAAAATTATAATTAAATTGAAATATGAGATGTTCCTTATTTTTGATTAAATCTATAATTTTTTATAATAGATTGTTTTTATATTGAAATAGAAATCATATCATGCTTTTTTCTCAAGTAAAATTAGCATTGAATATTTATTAAGTTTACATAAAATAGATAAGAAAGGAAATGATCAAAATACTTAAAGATTTTTTCTGAGTAGCACAGGATTAAAATTTAGAAAAGTTTATAAAATTAAAAATAAAACACTTAAAGAAATCAAATAATGTGACTCAAAATATTGATTTTAATTATTAATGGGGTAAAATGATAAATGTAAAGCAAAGGAATCCTTAGAAGATCATGCAAATAACAAGATGGGAAATTTCTAAATTATTGTGATTTCATTGTAATAATTAATTTCTAATGCGATTCTAGTTTCCATATATGAATTTTAGGTCGTGCTTTTAATCATGAAAAATTTTAATAAAATTGAGAATTTATTACCATGATAAGAAATGATTGATTGATATTCTTTTTTTAAATAGTTTTATAATTAAAAAATGTAAATAAAATGGAAAAGTAATAGTACATAATAAGAAATTATGAATATTTTTTAATTTTTTATCAACCTTATTTTTACATATATTCTAATCATTGAGCAATTTATTCTATGTTTATTCTATATTTTCAACAATAATAAATATTAAAATAAAAAAAATAATTAAAGAATGAAAATGAATAAGGAGATAAATTAATTTAAATGCTATTTAAATGAAGCTAACTATAATAAATTTGTGGATGATATTGTATTAGATAGGATATCTCGTGAAGCGATTGGAATAAAAAATTACATAAAAAACTCAATTTTGAATGATAAAAAAATTTTAGAGTAATTATTATTAAAAGTTTATGATGATTGGGAGAAATAATAACAGGTAGAATTAAAAAGAAAATAAATATTCACTTTAATTATTTTAATGCTTCTTAATTTAGTTAAAAGAAATGAGATGTTTGGGGGATTTTATACTATAAATATGGAACATCTTAAGAAAAGTCAAGATAGACTTTGTTAGTAGAAGTTATATTGCATAGAAAATTATATTAAATTATTCTATTAAAACAAAGATAAGTTAGTAAAGTCTTCCTTTTCTAGCGATGAATAAGTTTAATTTTAAGATTAAATTGTCAGATTCATAAAAAATTAAGTTAATTCTGATGAATATAAAAAAAAATTTGATTCGTTTAAAAAGGATGACTAAATAAGCTAATTAGCAATATAAATTGATATAACTTAAAAGAAAAATGAAGATTAAGATAATTCAACTGTAGTAGATTTTGCTGACTAGAATATAGGAGGATTAGCATTAAATTGTCATAATTGTGCTTAAGAAGAAGTATATAAATATATATATATCTAGATACTTATGCTTATTTTTCCAGAAGCGATTACATCTATGATTTTTATTCCACCTATGAAAAACAACGAAGCAGTTTTAATTACAAATTTAAAAAAATATTCAAGCTATACTGGATACGAGAATAGTTTTAAATAGAAAATATAAGAAGATTTGAACTCATTCTTTAATATGATTGTATTTATTTAACATATTTAGGCTATTGATGCTTAACCATTTAATGGAAATAAAGTATAATTTTAATAAGAAAATTTATAACGAGAGCTTTTAAAATGTTATTCAGGTTTTTGTTTGGCATTAAAATGTTCTCCAGAGAATGAGATATCAACAGGAAGATGGGGTTGTGGAATTTTTGGAGGAAATCAATATTTAAAAATAATAATATAAATGTCATGTTTTGCATAAGCAAACTACGAAGAAATTAATAGGTCTTAATAAACAAAAAACAAAAAATTAATCATTAATTGTAACGATAATTAAGATTTATTTGAATTTGGGTCTGGATTAAAAACTTTGGATAAAAAATTAAATTTAAGAAACTTATAACATTTAATGAAATAATTGTAAACTTTTAATTATTAAAATGATCAGTAATTGAAAAATTTCATTTTTGATGTCTTAAAATAATAAGATGATTCCATTTAATAAATATAATTAAATGATAATTATTAAAATTAATTGAAAGTAAAATAAGAAAACCCTTAAATAGTTTAGCATTAACAATAATTGTAAACAGATTAAAAAGGATAATAAATACTTATTAAAGAAATCAAAAAGGAGGATTAGAAACAGAAAAAATAATAAAAATATCATTGATAAAATATAAATATTGTTAAGATTATTATTCAATAATTGAAAAATATTCAAAAATTAATTTTATTAGTTAAATGAGAAATATCGTTCATATTCAATGGTTGATTTATGAGCAAATCTACATATTTTGATTCAACATTTTACAGCAAAGAATGTTTTCAAATTATGAAGCACAAATTATTGAATCTTTTTTTTATTAAATATCAAATTGGTTTGATAATTCATTTTCTTTATTGAATGACTAAAGAATTTTATCTTTCTTTTCATTTACAAATTGCAAAATAAATTATATTTTAAATTAATTGCTATTTAAAGTTAATAATACTGAAAGATATTATATTTTGCAATAGCTACTAATATATATCTGATAATTATTAATTTATAGAAAATGAGAGGATGAGTCAAAATTAAAACTTATTTCATAATGATAATAATTTAAAAAAACGAGGTAAAAGGATTTTAAAATGGAGAACATTGAATAAAGGTTCTGTTATATAAAAAAAATAAAATAAGATGTTAGACAAAAAACAATACAATAATGTAATTCTGGAAAATAAAATCAAGTGAAGATTACATTTATGATTAAAATCAGTGAAATAAGGTTGATATAAAAAGACTTAAACGTTAAATTTTTTTGAGTATATTAGAAAATTAAGTTCAGATAAAATCAAAGTATTTACATTAAAAATTTCGAGAGTAATTCTTAAATTTTTAAATTCGTTTTAGTTAGGTCATCAAAATTAAATATTACTAAGATTAAAAATTGAGAAATTGTCTCAGGAAACTATAAATTTCAGACTTAATAAGGAGTTTTATTGAATAAAATAGCTTTTTTTTTAAATTCAATACATAATATGCATAAGATAATTAGGTATGCTAAAACTAAAAATAGTTTGATTAAGTCAATAATTTCTTTTTGTCTAGTATACTTATTAGGAAGGTGAATATTATAAAGGAAGGAGAATTGGTAATGAATTTTGAGATTGCAAGTTTATAATGAAACAAATTTAATTATTTGATTGATGGTGTTGTAGTTATGATAAGAATGGAATAAAGAAGCAAATTATGTTATACAAAATCTAGGCTATTCTTGTCAATCATATTGTTAGTTTAGAGAATATTTTCATTATTATGGTTCATATGATCTGATATAAGCTTATTTGAAAAAGGTATAATATTGATTTAGAGATGATTTTAGTTCTTTTTATTATATATATATATCTGAAAAATTCAGATAAAATATGTGTTTCTCATTCTCTATATTATAATAAAACAATATCAGCATCTCTATATTATTATGATTGATACTTATAAATTTATTCTAACCTTCCAATCAAAGTAATTTAACTGTTTTTCATTCTTTTTTGCTGTTTGGTATTCAGCAATGGAATTTTTTTACAATTCAAATTTTTTTTTTATCTCAAAATTCAAATTCTATTTGAAAATCAAATATTGATAATTTTGTAACAAACACTTAACCTAAGATTTAAGGAATCTAAATTTGGGAAAATTGATTAAACTTTTTTCATTTTTAGTTATTTATTCCTCAGAGATTAATTTCATAAGAATTTTAAATTGATGATTCAATATAAAATTAATGATTATGTTATCAAATTATATATTTATATTCGTAACTCAATTTCTAAAAAGAGAAGGGTATTACCTTTAAGTATTGATGCAACTAGATTTTAATAACAATAAAATAAAAATACTTCTTGACATTTAGTTTAGCTTTAATTACATATTAGTTGTAGCTAATTTAGATATATTTTCCTTAAAAAATTGTAGAGATAACTGAACTCATAATTAGACTCATAAATTGAATTATTGCAATACGAGTAGTCCACCAATTATTTTATAGATATTTCTAATCTGCAGGAATAATCTATTTATTTAAATTTATTATATCATAACGAAATGCCACCTTCTCTAATAATTTTATCATTAATGATAAATGAATTAAAAAATATATGTCTTAAATATAGAAAATATTTAAACGTTCACAAATATTATAAAAATTTATTTTAATGATAAAATTTAAATATCATCTTTAAACCTTTAATATTTTACTTTATTTATATTTACGAATAAAGAAATATATAAATATTAAAGACCCAATTATTTTTTATGGTATGGTTTATGTATTATAAGAATATATAAATATATATATTGATCATTCACCAAATAAATTAAGTTTGATTTGATTCAAAAGTTCTTTATTAAAATCCATCTCTTTATCTTCAAAGTGTAAATACTGAATTTTTGCTTTTTCTTCTAAATATTTTTATTATCTCCATTATTTTTTAATTTCAATCTCGTTTAACATTCTTCTTTAAGTCTTAACCATTTGATACTAATCAAATAATTAATTATTATAGCTCTTCAATAAAAGATGATTGTACTTTGACACTTGATGCTTTAAATTTGGAATATGTTGATCTAATAGCAGGATTTAATCTTAAGGGAGATCTTGATTTATGTTTTTCAGGTTTTAAATCAAACTAAGGCTGCTCAAATAAAGGATATTTACAAGGTTTAGGAATTCTATCTTCTGGCATCTTCGAATGAATCATACGTGATTATAATTAAGGTAAGGACTAAGAATTAATTAAAGTTGATTTCATATTTTATAATTTAAAACTTATTTGGCTAGAGTAAAGAATACTGATATTTTTGTTATTATTAGTTATATAATTATCAATTATAAAGTTAAAATTTATCACCTGCTAATCCTTTTTGATTCATATTCAATAATTTGAGTCTCTCTTTTTTTAATTCAATAGGTTCATTGTTATTTTAAAAATTTTTAATATATGGAGATTTATGTACCATTCCAGGAAGTAAAATTTTATTACTAAAGTAAGGTACAGATTTTTAATTAGTTTTATTGTTCATTGCTTTCTCAAATCTTTATTATTAATATTCTTAGCGTAATTTATGAAGTTTTCTTAAACTAATTTCATTTTGTATATCTCCAGAACTCTTATTTATACTTTCTCTGCCTGAACCTAAATCTAATGAACGATTTATATATTTTCCTTTTGCAGATTTTCTTTATGTACTTGGAGGATGATAAGAAGGAGGACGATTCAATCTGGAAGAATATTTTTATGCTAATCTATATTTAAAAGGATCTTCTATTTTATCTTAAATTAAAATAAAATAATACTATTTTATCCTGAATTTTATGTGTTCGGAGATTTGTGCATTTATGTTAATTAAACTACTGGTGGTAATTTTAAATGAGATTTATTTTTTTAATATCTTATTTAAATGCATTTATTACCTCTAAATACCATAAGTTTAACCACCTTATAATTAATAATAAGGAGAATCTACTCCTGGTAAACTTGGTACTTATTTAATATTTAAATATAATAATACCTTTTTTAGGTCCATATGATTTTTATTTTGCACTTGAGACAATTTTAGCTTATTGTTTATTAATCTAAGTTCTTAATTATTTAACTTATTCATCTTAAATTTACTCTTAATATCTCCTCTTTTTTTCTTAAATTTTAATTTCAACTGTTTCCTAATATTTAGCTAATTATATTTTACAATTTTAAATTCTCCTTATTTCATAATTCCATATAAATAATTTTTATAATTGGAATCCTAAATTTATTATATTTATTTTTAAATATCAACCTTTTAGACTTCATATTCTAGTAATTATTATTCTAAATCATCTTAGCTTCTTCTAATTATAGTTTTTTAAGTTTTCGCATTATCAATTCTTTCTTACAATCTCATTTATTCAAATTTATCTTAAGTTCTTCCTTTTTAGAATTATAAAAATCCTATATTTTATTAAAATTGATTTTATTATTCTTCTAATTCATATAATTTATTTTTTATATCAGTTATATCAGCAACATTTTAATTAATAATAGTTTCTAATTCAGTTATCTATTATTTTATTGTTAATGGTGCAACAGGATGATTCTTTTAATTAATCGATGGTAATTCTAATTTTTGTATTTAAAATATTACTTAATTAAGGAGCATTTTAATTATATTATTGTTATTAAATTAACAATTTTAATTCTTCATTTTCTTATCTTAAATTTTAAATCAATTGAGCATAATTACTTATATGATTTTATGCTTTTAAAACATTTCTGTTAGCAACTGTTTTTATATTCTTAGCTCTATTAGCATAAACTAAAGTATTATATGTTTCTTCAAAACAACTAACTGCAGGAGTGACATTTGAAATCATTACAGTTCTACAATTTCCTCCTAAAGAATCCTTAAGAAGACGAGTAAGTTTTGAATTTCGAAATGGAATAAATGGATTTTTAATGCCTTTTTCATTTGCTTCTGATAAAGATTATATACAATTCCCTAACACTAATAATGATTTATTAATATTAGCTCCTTCAATCATTCTTTATCCTTTATTATTTGTATTAGCTGCTCTTTCACTTCCAGCCAAATCTACTAAACTAAATTTACTTTATATAATTTATTCTTATATTCCAGCTGCTTTATCTTTGGTTTCTACTTACAATTACAAAATTGCATGAGATCTTGAAGATTCTTTATTTGCATCAGTTGCTTCTTTAGAACGGTTTTTATTGCCTACTTTTAAAAGAGCTAAGACTTCTGAAACTGTTTTAACTTCTACTTCTATTACACCTGCTATTTATATTCCATTATTCTTATCTTCTCTTATTTCTAGATTTTTGTCCTCAGAAGTTAGTAGATCTCTAATATTTTCATTGTAAATCTCAACATAAGAAACCTTAAATTAAGTATCTTTAAATCTATCTTAAATTGAATAATTAAACAGCTATTACAATGCTCTTGGCATCAATCCTACTTCCTATTGAGTACCTATCATCCTAATTATTATAAATCTTATTTACGTGAAAGTTTTCCCTGAACCTGTTGCACCATAACAAAATACTGTTGTATTATAACCTTCTAACACTCCTTCTAATAAAAATTCTGTTGTATTTTCATATATCATTTATTATGAAGCAAAGTCATCAAATACAAAATCAAATGCAAAATTAGTTTCCTTAAGTCTATTTTTTCTTAATAACTATTATTATCAATCACAATACATCATCTTCTCTCTCTTATTCAGGATCCAATAATACAATCATCTTATTATCCAAAATTCTAATTGTCTCAAACTCTGATAAGCTCCTCTCCTTCTAACTTAAAGGTCTTACTCTAATCGCTACCTTTCAGTTTATATATAATTATACTAAGATATTACTAACACCGTTTTTTAATTCATCTATAAACTTTTTTGTCTCTATCTCAAACTAATTCATTAGAATTAATATATATATATAAATTATATATATTTATTTAATCCAAATATCATTTCTATTAATTATTATCGTTTTAATTCTCTAAAACTTTGAAATTAGTATACACTTTTAAAATTATGTTATAATTATTCTTATTATAAAATATTTATTGTAATTCTCAAATAATAAAAATTATCTTTTGTATTTATATTTTTAGATATTAATATAAATAAACTTGAAAATAATAAATTATGGAAATTTTATATAAATTTAAAATAGCCTCATAAAAATTAATCAAATCCATTTTAAGAATAATCCTAAATTTCTTCCTCTTCAATATATTCTTATTATTATGAAGCACTCATTCTGTAATATTAAAGGTTATGTTTGTAATAAAGTGAAGTTTTAGTCTTATTTTATTTTAGAAAATTTGATGCCCAATGACATTGTCCAAAATATTACTTTCCAAACAATCTTCCAATTTTTGTTGATAAGAAACTTATTAATGTATTCTTAGTAAGTTATGATTTTGGAATATCTTTCAAATTTTTCCAATCTAAATCATCTACAAACTCATAATAATTTTCTATTTATTTTTTTTCCAATATTGTTTCAATAAATTTCATTAAACCAACTAAAACATTTTTAGGGATGTTTTTAGTTTCACCTGGCTTATATATTTTTGATTTCTTATCAATTGATTTTATTGAATTTTTTTTTTATTCAAAAAATGTATTCTATTAAAAACTTTTTACCCCTTTTATGTCTTAAAAAAAAGGTTCCTTCTCCTCAGCATATTAGACTTTATTATAAGAATGAATCTGTTTAGTAGAAATGCATGTCTAATTTTCGCTTTCTTAATAAGGTTTTCTATAAAAAGATTAAGAATCATTATCAAAATAGTTATATTCCTCTGATATTTATAAGTATTGCATATTTTTTGAATAATTATTAATTAATTTCTCTTTGTTAGATACATTTAAATAATAATTAGAAGAATAATTAATTTTATTAATTGTTTTATTAAAAAAGAAAATGTCAAATTTCTAAAACAGAGTTTAAAAACTTTAATGTGAAGAAGTAAATCATGATAACAAGCCTATTATTTTGATTTGCTTTAACAAAGACTGTGTTAAAAGGAAAGTTTGTTTAACTTGCATAGAGGAATTTCATAAAAGTCATACAGGAGAATTAGCTTCAATTGAAGATGTAGAAGCATTCATTAGAAACAATTGTATTAAATAAAAAGGAACATATTAATGCAATGATATATTAGGTAAATTTGATGAATTAAAAAATGATATTCTTAACCAATTGAAAGTTTTGGAATTCATTTTAAAAGAAAAAGTACGCTAAGTCTTTGATAATATGAATAATACAGACAATAAGTTGTAGTAAATAGGGGATGAATGTGAAAATGATTTAAATGATCTCTAAAGTAAATGTAAGTAGAAAATTGAAGAATTTAGATTAGAATGGAATAATAAAGTAAATGCATTTAAATCAATACTTGCTCCAATTGAAATAAATTTAAAAAGATTTGAGAAATTAAGTGAAAAAGATGTTGATTTAAATCCTTAAACAATAAATGTCAGTGTTTTGTACCCAAAATAAACAATTAAATTAACTAAAATATATATCTCCTAATTAGAAAAGACATTTTAAGATAAATAAATTGAATTAGAATTTTCAATATACAAAAATATGTATAAATAATAATAATTTTGATAGGAATTTATAAGAGAAATATTTGCATAATTGGAAAAGTGTTTTGGATCACTCTTAAATGAAAATGAGAAATGATTCTTATGAAATTGGATTACCAGATTATGTATATTTAAAAGAAGGAGAATGTTATAGTTTGGAAATAAAAAGTAATCAAGATTGCAAATTTAAATTATTTAATGAATAAAGTTTAGAAAATTAACTTATGAGTTTCTAATAATCTGATCATGAAAAAGCTTCTTTTAAATTAGAAGAAAAAATATCAGTAAGTAGTCTAAGTGGATATGGATTACTTGTATCTATGGTAGCATTATATGAATGAATAGATATATATTATTATGCATAAAATAATATATGATTAATAATAAAAATAATAAATATATTATATTTTGTAAAATAAAGAATAAAATGTAGTTGATTTTGTTTATTAATGTAAAGTTAATGTAAATAAAATTAGATCATATAATCAATGATCATAATATATGGAGAATTAAGGAGCTTTGCTAACTTTCGACATCCATCCTTTATTCCAATCAGATTATCCAAGAACAGGACCAGGCTTACTATTATTTTATTTTTTAAGATTTTTAATTGGTTTTTTGCTGATTGATTATTCTTTGAACTTTTTATCAAATGTAAAATAAGTAGGATTATCTGGTGAATAACTATTTGGACCAGGATAATGAACTACAGGTGATTTAGATTTCGTTTTTTTAATTACATGTTCACTAACTACTCTTGAAGGAGTATTATATGCTCCAGGTCCTGGTATATTTATTTATTAACTTATAAGATCTTCAAAATAGTTAGTTCTATGTTAGGTTCTTATTTATTTAATATTTAATACATACTTCAATCTCTAAGAAATAATAGATTCATTTTCTATACTTTTTGGTTTGAACTCTTTATTATAATCAGCAGGTCCCGGTTTTGGTTATCGTTTTTCATCTGTTATAATATCAGAGATAATTGTTTTCCTTTAATTTTATTCAACATATTTGCTTGATTCTTTTGTTTTCTTTTACTCTTTTGCCTCTGACCAAAATGATTAATATTCATATTTAGGTCCAGGAAGTTTTGAATGATAATTTTATAAATCTTCAATAAAAGTTCCTCTTTTTGGAGGCTTGACAGATTTGGCTAAAGTTATGTTCACTCTTAATACTAGTTAATCTTTTAACCTTGCAGACATCTGGATATATTTTCATATCAGGCATTTCTTTCAATCCCCAATCTGTATGATATCTATTTGCTATAGCATATACAATCTCAATTGGCTCTTTATTTAAAGATGCATCATTATGAACAGTTGGTAGTCTAGGTCTAGACATTAATATATTTTTAATTAATAATAATAATAATATACATTACTTTATGTAAATGAAATATAAGAGTTAAAGTAATTGAAATATATATATAACTAATTAGAGTAATCTATTTGTAAAAATACAAATAGATTCTAATCAATAATTATATAAAAACTCTTATATAAGTTATAATAATCATATTTAAATAGGATTATAATTAATAAAGAGATAATAAATAGATTAAAATACATTTAATTAAACCATACTAATGCAAAATAATCAACATGTAAGACTTGCTTAAGAATTAAACCCTATACCTTATGAAGGATCTGTGTCTTAGGTTGTTTACCCATAACTTCCTGATTAAAATGTTTAAATTGGTTAACCTATTCAACCAATAGTTCCTGGTCAACAATTTGTTAGATAAGTAACATATTAACCATAACCATATTCCTAATAACAATAACAATAACAAATTATTTATCATCCAACTGCTATTTAATAAGGTATTAATCAAAAGTTATTTAAAGTCTAACCAGTTTATTCAAAATATCCTCACATCATAACATGTGCTTCCTGTTAAAAATAAGTTTAAACTCAAGTTACATATGAAGTAGGAACTGGAGCTTATGCACTTGGTGGACTTTTAGCAGCTGTTGGTCTTTGGTTAGGGTATTTCTATATTTAATTAATAGATGTTGTCTTATTCCATGTTTTGTATAAGATTGCAAAGATGCAGTTCATTTCTGTCCTGCTTGCTAAGCTAAAATTGGTAAAAAGAGATTCTTATTTGATTGATATAAGAATAGAATTATCAAAAATTATAATAAAACATTAACAATATTTCATTATCTTCTTGGAGTTAGCGATTTATTTGCATATTGTTATTATTTATTAATCAAATTAACTGATTTTGCATAATCATACCATGAAAATGCAGTATTAACAGATGTTGTTATTAAATCAGCTATCTTCTAATTTCTCTAAGATTTTTAATTCTCTTCCTTTTTTTAATTTTTTTCTTAGTTTGTAATTATTATTTTCTTTATTCCATATTCAAAATCTTTTTCCACAAATTCATAACATTCTCTTATTAATATATTTCTCTATTCAACTTCTTTTAATAAAATAGCTCCATCAATTTTATATTAAAATGTAACTAATAGATATTATCCAGAAAGTACGAAACAATATGACATATCATCTTATGATCTAACATATAGTGTCTTCAAATTCCCTATTATAGACATTATCAATTCTTTTTAATATTAAAAATTTTTTAATCTTTTATCAAATTCTTATTAATTTGATATCTTAAAATCAAAAAGTACAAAATCACAATGATTAAATGATCCTAAAAATGGAATATGTTTTTATTTTTCAGGATGTTCTATCAACATTGAAGCATTAGCTGAAATTAATTATCTTAATTCAGAATCATATCTTTTTGTATCAGAAAATCTTAACATCTTTCTTATTATTGAAATAAAATGATATAAAATAGAACAAAATGTATCTTACCTATATTCAGGAATATTTAATAATGATAAATTATTTCTCATATAATTTTAATTTCTTACTAAATTTATTGATAAGAATAATTCACTCTCTATCTTGTTGTATCCAATAACTAAGATTAGTTTATTTTGATTTTCAAATATTTGAATGTGAGCATAATCTTCATATTCTGTTTTAAATTCACCATATGTAGTTTATCCTTTTTAATAAAGAACAACCCAATTAACAAAACTATACATCTATCTAATAATTTATTCTTTATATTCTTGAATAATATCTACGCAAATAACATAATTTTTATCAGTTGTATTTAATTAAAGACAATCTATGTAATTTCTTTTTAGCTACAAACTTAACATATAATTAAATATTATTTTGGTACTCACATTTTCAAACTTACATTGTTTTAATAAGATATAAAATTCAGAAACTATATCAAAGGCCTTCTATAATAATTCAATAATACCTTTTCTGATATTAATTTGGATTTCTTATTTAATTCATTCAATTCGTAAGGATTTGATTGTTATCTTTTTATGAGTCTTGGACTTGCGAACTGGAGTTATTTTAAATTTAGAATTTTAGTTAGACTTTGAGTTCCTTCAAATATGAAATATTTCAAAAATTAATCGATATTCTAACTCATTTTAAATAATTATAAAAAAATAACATAAAGTACCAGTTCCTCTTTTTTTATGTAAAAGATAGAAAGATGATTTAAATTCTTTACAATTATTGTACAGATATCAATTAACATATCTAATTTTTATTTGGCTTCATCTTTAATTCATCATTTGTTTCTTAAGTCATCATCTATTTTTCACTTTATCTATTATTTTCTTTTCTAACATTTTATTTAATAACTTTTCTCTAATTATTTTCTAATTTTGATCACACCTTTTCCTTCTTTATTTTGAAGTCTCATTTTCTTCGTATAGAATTTCATATAGAATTTCTTTTAATAAATTAATTGATTGTTGTTTTAAATTGATAGCTTAATTATCTTCATGTTTTTTTATTATATTTTGCTTATTCTTATAGGTTCTACTTCTTCTACATTTTTTTATTATTTATTTTAATAAAAATATTAAGCTTCTGCTTTTTATTCAAATTATGTTTAACTAAAATAACCATCTCCCTTATCTTTTACAAATTTTTTCCATAATTGTTATTGGCTTCTTTAATTATTTCTAAATTTAATTTGAGTGTTCAGCTTAAACTTTTCTTAAAATTCTTAAATTAATACATTACTGATTTATCTTTTATTTTATCAAATACAAAATATCCTCCATCATAAAATTTACCAATATCTCTTTCATTCTTCTTATTATATGGTTCTATTTCATAATTATTATAATCAATTTAATCTTTGATAGATTTTAAAGTGCTTAGATTCATTATTTTTCATAAATTTATTTGGTGCTCAATTAAAATTTAGGAAAAATTAAATGATTTAGACACAATCCACAGTATAATCAGCTCTGGTTCCATTTAACTTTCATATTTATTTTTTTTTAAGTCCTTGCTTATTCTTTTGTATAATTGTTAATTGTTAGTTTTCTCATAAAAAATACTAAAATGAATTGTAAAATGAATTTTTTAATATAAATAATCTTTTTGTAAGGTAGTATATAATAAGTATTAAATAATTTATTGGCTATTTATCAATAAAAATAACTTCTAGATTAGAAATTGGAAGTTGCAATAGTAAGTATTAATTTGACTGATTTAAATTTAAAACAAAGAAATGGTAAAATTGACAAAAATCACACTTATTTGAAGACATTTTAATAAAAGAATATTAAATAGTAAAATTGTTAGTTTTATTTGAAAGTTCTGTATTGAAATTGTAATAGTATGATGTATTATTATTATTCAATTTAATATAACTAATATTATAATGAGTAGTAATAGTGAAAAAACTAAGATTGACTCAATAATAAATTAATTTTATGGGTTTAAAGTGATTGAGGAAGTACCAGAAGAAGAGAGATAATTTGATTAAATGGTTCCACAACCAGATTAAACATTAATTTAAAAGATGTTAGTATGATAATATTATTTTATGATAGGATGATAGTTTATAAAGGAGATAAGAGTTTATGTAAAACAATGAGTGTAAAGAATATTCATAGATGTTAATAATTTCATAAATAAGAATGGATTTTACAAATGATGATCCATTTCTTAAACATTTGATGAATGTTGAAAAAGCAATAAAGAAAGCAATTCGAAATATTTTATTGTAATTGTAAAAGCTTAAAGACAAGCAATAATTTAAAGAGGCATGTGACAAATTGGTAAAGATATTTTATTAAGATATAAATATTGGATTCATAACATCAACTGGTTAGATTAAATCAACAGCATATGCTTTTATTTTAAAGTCAATAATAGAATTAATAAATAGAAAAAAGATTAACTTATAATTTAAAAAGATTCCTTTAAAAATAACACTAACATTCTTTGCAATAGATTCTCTTTAACAAATAACACCAGCATAAAAATAATATGATCCTCGAAGTGCCTTTATTAGAAATAACAAATTTTTTAATGATTACATAATAATATCTTAAACTAATCAAGATGAATTAAGGAATGGAGTATCAATATTCTTTGTATACAGACCAGAAGATGATCAGATATATGCATTAAAAAGAGTAAAGAAATATGTTATCAATAAATTATAGAGTAAATTACAAGCAACTCAACTTGATTTTTTTTCTGTTTTTTCTGCAACAGCATCAAATACTCCAATAACTCCAGATATAAGGAAAATCAGAGAAGCTAAAATACTTTCTAAATTGACTCATCCAAATATCTTAAGGTATTTAGTTTATATTGTAATAAAAGACTTTTTGCTTGGTGGATAGAATAAAATAATGATGGCTATTATTTATATATGTAATTAGAATATTGCTCATTTCCTGGATATAAATATTAGCCAACAGATCTTTTAACATTCTCTTATTATTATTTAAATGTAATGCAAAATGTTGAAAAAATAAATAAAATTAAATCTATTCTAAATCAAATATTAGATGGTTTAGAATATATTCATTAAAGAGGTATAATCCATCGGGATTTAAAACCTGAAAATATATTTGTGACTATTAATATTAAAGGAGATTTATAAGTAAAAATGTGATAAAAATAAACTGGTTAGGTTGTTTTAGCAGACTTTGATTAGGGAAAAGATGTTAGAGAAGAAAAACTATCTACAATGACTGATGAGAGACTTCCTTAAGAAGAATTGAATTCTATTACTTCTTAAAATACAATTACAACAGGCACTTTTGGTTATTAAACTGCAAATTATGTTAAGGATTCTCATTATGGAATGGCAGATGAATTTTATGCAATAGGAATTATTCTATTACATTTAGTAATAGCATTTCCAGGTGAACCAAAAAATAGAAATCATTATGCAAAGACTTTTGTAATGGCTAATCAAACAGATGATGTATTATCTTTGTTTGATACTTGGGCTAATAAGTTTGTTAAAAACAAAAGCACTGATTTTTCATTTATTCATTATAAAAATGTAATGGATTTAGCGAAGTTATTAATAAGCTCAAGAAAACTAACTCATGCTGATGTGAGAAAAATGATAAATGAATTATGAATATCAATTCGAGTATGAGTATGAGTATAAGTATGAGTTTTGTTATGTAATCAAATAAAATTAATTTATTATGTGATTAATATTATATATTATATAGAATTTAAATACTGAATAAACAAAATCCATAAATAAATTCAAAGTACTTTCTTAGAATTTACAATATCTTCTTATTATTCTAATTCTTCTTTCTGATATAATCTTATATAATTTTTTGCATCTCTAAGTTTTTGGTTCTCAAAATCTTCTTCATGCTTTTTATAATCAATTACTATTATACATTTAATTCCATCTTATAAAGACATTGATTTAGAGTATTCGTAGATAATATTCTTGAAATAAATTGACCAACTAGATTTGGACTCAATGCACATATCGGATAAAATACAAGAGCACATAAATCTTTGGTTTTTACTCCTGTCTCAAATAAATCAGCCATTTATTCATTATTTTTATAGATGATCATTACAGTAACAAAAATGAAAACCATTGCTAAATATCTAAATATTTAATAGATAAACTTACATTTATGATTTTACTATTTTATATTAATCAATTATAGGTTTAAATGCAATTACCAATAAAGTTATTGCCAAAATCATAAATTATTATAACAAATAACCATGAACATATCCATTTTAATCATTTGAACCATAGAAGGTATAAATAACTGAGATGACAATAAAAGTTCCATGAAATCCACCTTACAAAAATTAATTAATTAACAATCTATAAGGATTCTTTGAAGTTCTTACCATAAGGTGATAAACGGGTTAGCTCTTTAAAATTTCAAAAGGGAAATCCTAAAATAATAATAATAAGTAATTTATTACCTAAGCCATTATAAAGAATATGAAAATATAACAAATTGTAAAAAACATCATTATGAATAGTATAAATTCATTTAACAAATAGTTTTAGGAGAATCTATTGTAACATACATAAACAAATTAAATAAAAAACAAAATAAAAGATAAATAATTGATAAGCTAGATTGCTGAACTTTATCTAATATTATTTAATCTTCCATGTACAATTAAAATCTTAGGTAAGAAACTAAAAGTTGGCAATTGTATATCAAATGCTGTTTCTGTTTGATTTTACAAACAAATCTACATTGATGGAGTTGAAGCAATATAATTGGTGATACAAATCAGTTCATGAGATTGTATGGTTGATTATAACAAATAATTTAGGTGAGGTTTAGAATTTAGAAAGATTACAAATGGAATTTTTAGAAAGAAACTTCTAAATTTATCATTTAGTAATTAGTTCTTCAATCCAGTTTATAAGGTTGCATCATCTATAATAAGTAATACAGGTCTATCATTCATAAATATGTTAAGTTCTTTACCAAAAGTTTTAATTTACTAAATTACTTATATGTATATACACTATTTTTTTCTATTTAATCAAAAGCAACTTAAAGTTCATCTCCATTTTAACACATCATAACTTGAGGAGCTGTTTATTCAAATAATCCTGCCATAGTTGGATCATTCTCTAAAATTTATGGCTTTATTTAGAATGAATAATTTACATCTTTTATATGAGTGTTAATCCAAATCTTATATTCACATCTTCTAATATCTATAATTTCTTAAGAACAATCATAATAATCTTCTATTACCTCAATAAATAAAACAGGTTCTACATCAGATTTTATTTATTTTAGTGTTTCCTCATCTACAGTTTTAAATTTATTAACCATATTAGTTATCTTATCTAAATATTACATAGAAACAATCTTTCGAAAAACAATATTCATTGAATTAAGATTATCTTTGGCATCTAATAAACTTGAAATTTGCAATTAAATCTCTGATGTTAGTTGTTCCTTACAATCTATAAATTTAGATCTAAATACTATTAGATACAATTTATTATCCTAAATGCATATATTGATAGTAGAGTACTTCTTTTAGAATTTATTCATATCCAAAAAGCATATATTTTGAAGTGACGACTTCAAATTTTGTTTTAAAATACTACTGATTTTATTCTTAATCTTAAATTATTCTATTATTTCCATTGATTCCTATTGATAAACCATAATCTAAAATTCGTTTTTATGTAGCAATATCTTCCTCACTTTTTTATGAAGTTTAAAATGCCAAAAGTGCAAATTTAGCTTCTTATTAACAGAAATTAAAATCATCAATATCTTCTATGGGTGTAACAGTTACTATATCATTAAGATTGATTTCATCAGATTATTTATTTAATAATATATTATTAACAACTAATGTTTTTCTAGTTAATAGATTTAAATCGGTAAGAATATATTTAGCTCTTGCCATATTGGCTAATGCATTGCTATTGATGATTTCTACTTTTTTCCCAGAAATATCAACACTATGATATAAATTAATTTTACTCTATTAGACGATCATGTTCTGCTTAAAACTTAGAAATTCTATTGATAATTGAAATTAGAGGAATTTACATAATTGGAATTCCCCAACTGAATGTGCATAGAAATTATAAAAAGGTTTTCATTTATCCTTCATCTATTCTATTATCTAAATACAAATATTTAGTTTATATGAAATGAGCAGTTAATAAGATGATAGATAATAGAAGTGTAAATAATATTATTAAAATGTTTTGAATATGTAAAGAGAATCCTAATTTAGGATTTATTTTAGTTTTTTCATAGGCAGAACTTTATTCATCTTTTTATTCTTTCAAAGTCTAACCAGTGATGAGAATAAAGATTTCATCAAATGAATAATTAGCTTACAATATTCTAATTCTATTTTATTACCTAAAATAAATTGATATTCATATACTAAAAATCTAGACAGAATTAACCTGTTTCCATTTTGATTGTAATTCTAACTTTTTTATCATCTTAATCAAATTCTAATTTGCCTTCAAGTTATTTTGAAACACTAAAATTTGCAACCCCTGCTCTTCGAGTTATTGTTTATCCTCCTACTTCTTATATAGGAATATTTTCAGAAACTCCACTTGTTCCAATTATTATACCATCTGCTGGACACTTTTGTTTTGGTAAAAGTTTTATCAGATGGCCTGGCTATAATTATCCTAGACTACATTCTCTAAACTCATCTTGAACATAAACAAATATTTATTATTTATCAGCTTGTTCAATTGATTTGTAGAGATTAATTTTGTTCATAAAGTTATCATAAAATGATATAGAAAAACACAAGACTATTTATAATCCCAAATATAATTGATTATAAAAACCTATGACTTCATATTATCTAGATGCAATCAACAAAATGATGTAGTAAAATAAGGGGAAATTTGCAAAACCATACATAAATGATTCTATTACGATCTATCAAATATAATCCATATTGTTGTTTTACTTAAACCTTTGTTTTTTCTTATAGTGCATTTATATCAAGGGTAGATTTTATAGTAATAAGCTTCCCTTATTAATCTATTTGTGATTAATTTAATGTTTCCTCTGGAAGCATCTCCTATTATTTATTAATTTTTATTCTCGCCTCTGTATCAGTAAATGTTTATTTCATAAACTACTTGGCAGTGATCTTATTCGCAGAATCGATAGAATTGATAATGTCTTTTGTAGGATTAAATTTATACATACCTCTTGAGGAACCATCTAATGATTACATAATTAAATATATTTAATTTAATTTTCTAAAATTTCTAAGAGCTTTACAATTTAGCAAGATTCTTACAATTTTTAAGATTCTAAATAGATCTACAATTATTTTAATGTTTAAGTGAGTTAAAAATATCCAAAACTATATAAATTTAGAAATATATTAATTTTATAATGAAAATTCTAATTATTAATGGTTATATGAAGAGCTATAAAGGAATGAAAAACTTTGAACAATATAAATTGATAATTAAGGAAGCTTTATTGAGTAAAAAAGAGATGATAGATACTGAAATAGATTTCATTATACGTGATAGAGACTCTATAGATGATTTATTATATGAAATAGATAGTTCATTTGTTAGAATAGAATGTGGCAAGATGTTTGATTCAATAGATATAATATTCTTTGAAGGAGATGCAAATCTTAGACCATGGTCTCCAAACGCATATAAAGTATAGAATAAAAAAATAAAATAGTATTTAATTTTATTAAGAATGTGTCTTAGAAGTAATAAGATCCTTTTTGCATCATCCTTTGCTCTCTAAGGATTAGTTTTTTTAATAGCTTCAAATGTTGAATGTGTATTAATAATTATATTTACTAGTAAATAAGCGTTATAAATGGATTAAATGGTGGATAATTGGGTGATTTATCTAAGATCAAAAAGGATTTAACTGATATTAAGTAGTCAGATTTCTTTCTTGACAATGTGACAGGAGATTTATATGGATTTAATTATGATACAGGGGAATGGATAAGTAAGGGAAATGCTGGAATTCATTTTAGAAAAGCTGCTGAAGAATTTAAAACTATTGGTAAGTATATCATGAAGGCACCTCAATATAAAGTAAAAGGAATGAAAGAATTGGATGCTTTATATGTGTCTAAAGAGAATGAAATAGTTTGTTCTTTAAGGAAGAATTAAATGCATCATTTCTTATTTAATGAAATACCTTTTGAATTCGTAGTACCTTATAAGAATTCTTGGGATGTACATCCATTTAATTTTGTAAACCCTAAAAAAACATTTTAAACTTTAGCTGATTGTACGAAAGGTAAATAGAGTATTAATTTATATAGGTCCTTTAATTATATAGATATCAGATAATATAATAGGTACATAATTTGCAATAAAAAGGAAATACAAAGATACTACAGTAGTATTGAAGAATTTTATGGGTTATCAATTAACTAAATTATGTTCAGGATAAGCTCATTCTATACCAATAGAAATAGCATCAATAAAATAAAATGATAATGCAATGGATATCTTTCTTGAACATATGAGTAAGAATAAATATTAAGCTCATCAAAAAACAATTAAATTTAATGTAATAACAGAATTTCATCATGCTGGTTATGCAGCTAAGAAATCTAATAAATTAGATGTAGTAGTTAATAATGCAATAGGAAAGAGAAGATTCAAATAATAAATTTAAAAATAACCAAGCAAAGAATTAGATAAGCTATTATCAGTATCAATATGATTCTATTTAGAATGATAATTCATATAGATAAACAACCAGAACTTCTAATAATTAATCTCGAAAAATTGGATCATTAAATTCTCAGAATGGTTTGAATTCCCCTCCTAAAGGTTAAACTTAAACTTAATTTGATGATATAAATGAGCCAAAATCTTAATTTCATAAAACTTCTGGTGAAATTATGAAATTGCTTCATCCTTCAATAGATGATGATCTGGTGGAATAAAATAATAAACATATTTGGGTACCTGGGTTTTTATCTCAAAATAGTTAAAATAGTCAAAATAGAGGATTGAAGAATTCTAATCACAATACAAAGGATTGTTGGAATTAAAAGTTAAGTATAAGAAAAAACTACTAAAATGCAATGCATATAGAAACTTAATATGATAATATTTATAAGACTTAAAAACAGATAGAATAAGAAGAAGAAAGAGAGAAAAGTAAGAAAATAATTGGACCTAAGTAATTTCGTTGTGGTACTCCTGTATAATCTAATTTGATATGCAATTATATCAGTAGAAATTCATCTGTACCCTAACATTAATTTAGGGCTATTGAGAAAGTAAAATGGATCTCTCCTCAAGATTTTAAAGTTTGAATTATATATTATCTTAATATGATAACAAATAATCTCAACCATTATGAGCACCTTAAGATTCTGGACTTAAAGGTAGAAACATTAATTTTTAAGAAGGACCTTTTGCTAACATTTAAAGAGTTTCTAAGAATCTTATTTACATAGCAGCTTTGCTATCAAGTGCTTAAGCAGCTTCTTTCATTAATTTAGCACTTTCAACATCAGCTTATGCAGATATAACTTTAGCTTAAGCAATTCTTTTATTTTTTGCTGCAGCTGCCAAATCAGATTACATCTATGGAGTTAAAACCATATCCTTTATGAATACTTCTTCAATATATATTCCCCATTATTCTGTTTATTTATCTAAATATGCTTCTATTGAATCTTAAACCATTTCTCTATGTTCCAATAGATCTTACAATTAATGTTCTCCACAAACCTACCTTAATGCTGCATATGTCATGTCCTTTACTGATTATGTTAATCTAGAAACTCTATAAGTTGCACGAACTGGGTCTATATATTATGTTTAAATATCAGTTACATACCAATTACTCTAAAATACATGCATGTATCTATATTAACCTAAATGTTATCTTTTGTTAAAATTATTTGCCTATCTAAATCTAATACTCTAGTTCTCAAATCAACTGGTATTACAACATCCTTGTACAATTAATGTTAAAAATTACAGTACAAGGATTGATTTAATTTAAACCTGATGGCAAACTCCTGTGATATTTTCCGAACTTTTCAACTAGACCTACAGAACTCTATTAGACTGCATAGAAAGGATTTTCACAACAACAAAATATACAGGGCAACCAAGCCTTAAATTCAATTCTTTCGTATTACTCTCAAACATCCAGAAACATTTCCACAACAATCAAGACAAGATTCATATGATGTTAATTCTCTTTTTTAGGTTAATTAATCTTCCTCTATATTTTACTACTTGCATATTAAGATTAGTTTTTTACTCTATTATTGCTAAGTGGCTATTATTCCATTGTTAATTATTATATATATAAAATTATTATATATATACAAATTATCCATTTCAAAATTCAGAGAGAAGATTAGATTAAACATCATCATACTAACTTTACTAAATATAACATCATCAACAATTATAAATATTAAATAATTATTTATTATTATTATTTAAATATTGGAAAATATTAAGGCAAATTAAACCTTACAACATATTGAATAAAAATTAGATTTTATTACTTGTATTCTTAGTATTTTTTACCTATCTATTAAATTATTATGATTCTAGAATTCATTACTTTGATTTCATCATTTCACATTCGGTATTAATTATAATAATATAATTAGAGAAATTTAATTACAACTATGGATAATATCATAGAGAATTCTTTAAACTTTTGGTAACAAAGACTTCATACAACAGTTCAGGATCATACAGCAATCATAATTATTCCGAAAAAAATATCAATTGTAGATAGAGTAGTGATAAAATCAGCAGACTTTTGGAATAAGATGGCTAATCAATTCTTAGCTAAAAGTTCCACAAATAGATCAATGGAAAGTTTATCCAACTAATCAAATAAACATTAGATATCTGATTGTTGATTTGTTATTATATTATAATTAAATAAGATATTCCTCCACTAACTTGTATGATAACATACATAATATTTAATCACCTATTTCAAAATAAATTTAGATATTCAGTCATCACAAAAGCAGACTTATATAAAACTATCTAAAATGATAAAGTATTTTCTTTATTATTAAATTATCTTATATAAAGTCTTTGTAATTATTTTCCTTTGTATCTTCTTCCCTGATCATTAAAACATACATATTTTTAGATTTTTCTAGGTTCAAATAGATTGCCTAGGTTCAAAATATTACATTGCAGTATTGGTCATTCTATTTTTAATTTGAAAAATCAAGAACTTCTATTTCTAAGAATCACTATTTTTTATAAAAATATTTGAAAATTCTCTTTACTCATATTCAAAACAATCTATTTTTTTATATTGTATTTCTTAAATTTTATTAAATTAAACTACAAAATTTAACATGCAACATCAAGGAATATTAAAAATAGGATCATAAGATTCATTCTCAAGAAAGAGTTAAATGAATCAATTACATACTACTCCAAGTCATCGAAAGACTTCTTTAACTAAATAACAATCAATAGATTAAATACCAGATAATGCTTTAGAGAAGTTTTACTTATACAAATAAAAAAAGAATGATATTCGAATGAAATAACAATTAAGTAAATAAACTTAAAGATCTACACAGAATTCTATTGCATAATAAAATAAGTTCTTTATTAATGCTAATTTCGTTAACAATTAAGGTGGTCAATAAAAGCGGTCTGCATAATCTGTTACTATCGAAGCCATGGAATCAGTTAAAAGAACTATTAAAACTGATATGGGCAATCCTGCATCTATTTTAGGTAAAGCTAAAAGTTTAGGTCCAGATGAATAAATGCAATAAATTAAACATCATAATGTTGTTGTGAGATTTGGAAATTAAGACTTTTATTTTTATTTTGAACCTCAGTAAATCTTTTATATTATTTCTTTAGTTTGAATATGAGATAAATTTGGTATCAAATCTTGTAAAGGTTACATGATTTAGAATTTGCAAATCCATAAGAATGTTATGCTAATTTTAAAGATAAACCATCAGTTAATTAAATAGTTAGTTTTGTATCTTAATAACATTCAATATCTATCGATTATTATATTGCTTAACCTGATTTATCATTTAATGTATTCATGAATTCTGGATTAAAATTAGAAGCATTTCTATTATAAGCATCACCAGAACCTAAAGTTGGTTTAAAAGATTTTATATTCCTTAAAAATATTGGAGTTGGAGGCTTTTCTTTAGTATATTTAGTAAGAAAGAAAGACACAGGAAAATTCTATGCTTTAAAATTAATTGATAAAGAATTTATTATAGCTAAAAAGAAACAACAAATAGTTCTTAATGAAAGAAATATAATGACACTACTAAATAGTCCATTTTTATTACATTTATCATATGCATTTGAATCTAGATAGTTTGTTGTTTTTGTTTTGGAATTTTGTTAAGGAGGAGAACTCTTTTTTCAACTTAAATAAATTAAAAGAATGAGTGAAGAATAAGCTTGTTTTTATATTTCTGAGATTTGTTTGGTAATTATCACTTTTATAATGAGGGTTTATAAGAGATTCACGCACTTAATATTTTGTATAGAGATATCAAACCAGAGAATATTTTAATGGATATAGAAGGCCATGTCAGAATAGCTGATTTCGGATTAAGTAAACCTGAAATTGGAAGAGATGAAAAAGCATACAGTTTTTGTGGATCTCCTGAATATATGGCACCAGAAATGCTTTTGAAACTTGGACATTCACAAACTGTTGATTTTTATTGTTTAGGAGCATTATTGTATGAACTACTTACTGGATTACCTCCATACTATTCAACTAATACAAATTAAATTTATTAAGATATATTATACTCTAAATTAACATTTCCAAATGATGTAAATATTTAATTATTTCTTAAGTTAACTTTATCAAAAGAAGTTAAATCTTTACTTATTGATCTTCTTGAAAAAAATCCTACCGAAAGATTAGGTTCAAATGGAGGTGTATAAGAAATCTTAAAACATCCTTTTTTCTCTTAAATTGATTTTAAATAATTAGCACTAAAAAGAGTTAAACCTCCATTTAAACCTGATCCATTAAAAATGAATTTAGATGAAAAAGAATCTCAAAAAGGAGAATAAGATTTTAGAAAAAAAATTGCTTAAGGTAAATCAATGAATTTGCCTGCTATTTTTGGTTCTTCTTTTTATTATGAATCTCCTCAAGAAGCTCAAACCAAATCTATTTATAAAGAATGGATTTCACATACAAACTTATAACCAAATACTCCATGTATTCCCTCATATCATAGTTAAGGAAGGTATTAATTATTAGATAAAAATTTAGATCAGCAAAATCTTAGGATATTATTCCTTTGATTTAATCTGTAAAAAATAATCCTAGATCTCGTTAAATGTTAAGTTAAAAATAAAATTTTTATAAGGCTTCAGGGTAAAAACCCTCTTTAGAGAGAATAAATTAGGAAAAAAAGTTTTTTTCTAAAGTGTGACCCAATTAATATTCATCAAAATTTTTATTATAAACAAAAAGTTAAATTTCATTTTCAATTATTTAAATTAAGATATTATTGAGTTCCCCTAGTATTGGCCCAATGTTTTTTTATTTAATAAAATGAAGATGGAACTTATTACTTGTATGGTTTTGAACTATTTGATTAATTTTAATATTAATTCGTTGATGTTTTTAATTGCTCTGTTTAATCAATTTGTTCATCAATTTAAGGAGAAGAAAAAAGTTTAGGCTTAATTATCATTCCATAATTATCTTCTGTTATTCCCATCTTTTATGTTTGTAATGTATTTCTTAAACTAATTGAAGGATTTTAAGTTGACTAGAACTTTTACATTTTATTGAATTTATAATTATGAGTTTATTTCTAATGTTTATTTATTCCATGATAGATTACATTAACTTTATAATTTATACCTTATTCAGTCTGAAAAGGAGAATCATTTTAAATTTTACTATTCAAATCGTTTAAAAACATCAAATCCTTAGTTGGAGAATAAGGATCTCCTGTAAACTTAAATTGTGTGCTATTTTTTTAATTCATCAATTGCTTTTAAATATATGGTGAGAAAATTACATCACCCATATTTTCCTCATTAATTTCACAATTTAAATCTGATTTACCTTTTAATTAAGCTTCATATATTAAACTTTTTAATTTTATTGGAGATTTATTTCTGACATCATTACTCATTAATTCAATTTTTGTTTATACTCCTCCCATAAATTATGTTCTAAATGTTTATGCATTGTTATATTCATTTGATTATTTAGTGTTCAAAGTAAATACTTAATTACCTTTTATTTTATAATTTTATTAATATTTTTTATAAGTACTTCCTCGACATATATTTTAATTTTCTGTTTAATGGACTATATTATTTGGTTAATCTTCTAAAAATTATTTTTTACTCAAATACACAGTATTTCTTGTTACTGTTTAATTATTTTCACTTTTAACGGATTATTTTCTATAATCATTTTTTATTAAAGATTTTTTAGACTTTTTAATCTTTTTTTATTTATTTACTCTTTAAACTACATTATTTACAATATTATCATCTAAATCATCTGATTTCCTTTCACTATCAGACTCTCCCTCAGAAAAAGATAAATTAGGCTCTTCATTCTTCATTTCTTCAAATAGTTAAGAATATTTAGAAGTTTAACAAATAGATTAAAGAATAAATTATTATTTTTCTTCTTAAAAATTAGGTTTTTTTTTTATTTCTTTCTTTATTTTCTTATCCTAGATTTAATTAAAGAGAGCATCAATCTCTTAAAAATGAGTAATAAAATCTTTGAAGGACTCTCCAAGTATTTAACCAAATTAAATCCATTTAGATTCATTAAAACTTTCTGTATTTTAATCATAATAATAACTACTATTAGATATCTCTAGAGTAAAGCAATTAACGAAATCATATTTTTCACAAAATACAGCTCTAGCAGTATTAATTTTACATTTATTTATTCTAAATAGACATGAATAATAACGAAAAATTCGAGTTTTGAGAGATAAAATTTTAGCAAACAATCTTGATTTATAATAGTTGCAATTCCATAATTAAAATTCTGGTCCATATAAAAATACATTCTTTTTGGCTCTAATAAAAGGTAATTATAATACCTGAATGTCCATGTATATCTATAAAACCAACAATTTAATCTCCATAAACTTAATATAAATCAGAAATCAATTATTTCATTGCATAAACTGTTGGATATAATTGTTTACAGTTTTCTCTAAATTTCCTATTCAGGTCTCTTCCTGCACAACCAGTTCTATAATTACCAAATATTACACCATCAACATTCATCATGGGAACTATTACAAATATTAATCTTATTTTTTATAAATAATTTACTAATCTAATAATTCTTCTGCTTCATTTGAACTTAAATATTTAAGTAAACCTTACATCACCCATGATGAATTTGATTCTCCAGGATGAATTCTTGCTTAAATTATAATTACTTTTTTCTTTATGATATTACCTTTAGAGAAAGTTAACTTTGGCACTTAAACTCCACTTAAAGAGCAACAAAAAAATGATTATTCCATATACTTAAAATTTATTGTTTTTAAAAAATTATTTAATTAAGTAAAAGTATAAGGGATACAATAGGCTAACTTTATTTTATCATCTCTTTTTTTATTCATTATCGTAAATGCTAGACAATAATATTATTTGTTAATTTCTTTAAATTAACATTTATAAGATCCATATTTTACATTCTCACCCTCTTACTACCAATCTTTAGAATCTCGTTAAACGTAAGGTTTCATCCCTCTTTCATATAAACATCTTTTCTTGCGAAAATTGCAAATGTTAAATTTTATTTATTCAAATTTTTTCAAACCAGTGACTTCAAAGAAATACCAAAGTGTATGACCTTTAGTATTAGTATCAACTCTCATAAATAAATCATATTCAAATTCAGATTTCTAAATTGCTAGATCCAAATTCCCACTTTCAAATAAAGAATTGAATTGTATTTGATATTCACTATTTGGATTCATACCTACAAATAACTATTAATTTTGAGATGATTTGAATTAAATATTTTTAGAATTTTTGTATGAATAATTAGATTAAGCAGAGAATTATTTATGAAATTACATTGCATCATTTGGTCTATAACCTAAATAAACAATCTTATTTGGATCATTCTTTTAGTAATGTTCAATGAGTTAATCATTCAATTCATTGTAGAACTACACATTTATTATCTCTTCTTGATATTATGTAGGAACCCATCCTAAAACCATGTCATTTTCTAAAGAGTAACTTCTATCTGTATGATCAATTGGTTGAGGCAATAATCTTTTATTTGAAACATCTTCAAACTTGCATTCTGAAAATTAATTATCCTTCATTCTTATTTTATAAGGTATTGTAGTTAGAGTTTATATAAATTAATAAAACTTTAAGAATTAAGGAAAACAAATTTAAAAATTTATGATCAAAATTTAATATAGATATATGTTTAATATAAGTTATTTTTGAATGTTAATTTAATTCTCATTTATTTTTAATTATTATCCTATCTTTTATCTAAATTCCGCTGCCCTTTTGAATATTAAAAATGAATACTTATTTAGATTCTTAAATTACTACTGACTTTTTTGTTTAGCTTTGTTGACTCGTTTATTATTACATATTTTTTGGAGGAGCATCTTTTATAATTTTCATAGTGCCTTAATATTTCTAATTTTGCAATTCAACATTATCCGAAATGGATTAACTTTTATCCGGGTTCACTAATAAAATCCTTTTTTTTGAATCACTATTTAGAATATTTGATTATTGTGGTTCATTTTATTTACTTAATACTACTTATTCAGATTAAGTTATTATAACTGGTTATATAAGTGGTTAAAATTATTAAGCATTTTGTTTTGGGGAATCCAAAACATTCAAAATATCTCCAAGGTCTACTACTTGTTCCTTCTATTCAGGTATCTTAGAAAGTTATTCTAATTCAACAACTTGTTAGTCTTTCTCTTATTTATGGGAAGATAATGAAACGGATGAACTATTTTATTAATTTTTGGTACTAGAAATCTCCTATTTGTTCGCTTTATGAAGCAATTTCAAGGGTCTTTCTATTTTTATTTGAGTTATGATCTTAGCGTTTATCTTCACTTCTTGATTGAGGCTTAGATCTCTCCTCACTTCGTTTCTTTTTATCATCTTTTCTATTATCTTTCTATTTCTTATTATTATTATCCCTTTCTCTCTCTTTCTCACCTCCTCTTGATCTATCTTTCTCTCTTCTTCTTTCTCTATCCTTTCTTTCAGATTTCTCAAATGATCTCTCTTTGGATTTCTCTCTATTTTTTTCTCTTTCTCTATCTTTATCCTTTTGTTTTTTTTCATAATCATATTTTGTTTCATTTCTATCTCTATACTTATGATCATCTTTTTTATCATATTTATCTCTATTTCTATTATAATCCTTATCTCTCCATCTTTCTCTCTCCTTATTAGTATCTCTTTCTTTCTCTCTTTCTTTCTCTCTTTCTTTCTCTCTTTCTTTCTCTCTTTCTCTCTCTCTTTCTCTTTCTCTTTCTTTTTCTCTTTCTTTCTCTTTCTCTTTCTCTCTTTCTCTTTCTTTTTCTTTCTCTTTTTCTTTTTCCTTCTATTTTTATTTTTCTATCATCTCTTTTTCTTCCTTCTCTCTTTTTTCTTGCTCTTTTTACAAACGTTATTCTTTTTCTTTATCTCTTTCTTTTTACTCTCTTTATTCTTTAGCTCTCTCTCTTTCTCTTTATTCTCTATGATCTTTTTCCTTCTATTATTCTTTTTCCCTTACTTGTCTTTCTTTTTCTCTATCCAAATCTCTTTATTCCTTATCTATTATCTATTATGTATTAGAATACTATCATCATTAACAAACTCTGATATAATATGGCTTTTATCCTCTTGTTTTTCATAACTCTTTTTTTTTTTCTCTTTACTTCTTCTTTAACTTTTTTCTTTGCTTTTTCTATCTTTGCTTCTCCTTTCTCTACTTCTACGATCATGATTTTTTCTCTCTTTTTATCTATCTTTACTAGATTTTCTTCTATCCTTATCTTTTTCTTTCCTCTCTCTATTTCGACTTCTACTTTTACTACTTTTATATTTATCACTATCATTATCTGCAATATTATTCCTTAAAATTCTCTTAAATTCATGTGGTATTCTAATATCCTATTAAGGTTATGGTTTATAAGGTTTTGATTTTTAAAGCAATTATAATAACTTTGAATAATTCAATATTCCTTACTTATTCTGCTGTTTAGCATGTTAATTCTTAAACATCTTTACAATGATTGACAGGTTTCATTTCATTTAAATCATTTTTTATATTTTAAGTTTTTTCAAAATTTAGTACTCCTTTAAATATCCACTCTACCTTCACAAAAGATTAAAAAAATTCTTGTAAATTATTTAAATTTTGCTACTATTCTTCCTAAAGAGTTAACTTTTAGAAATACGGTAAGATAATCGAAATCAGTTGGTTCATTCTAAATTGTACCAAAAGCAATAAATGATCTTTAATCCAAGCAACTCAAAAACACTCCTACCTATTCACATACTTAGGCTGCATTTCTTAATTACTAATCAAATCTCTTTTGGATAAAAATGACTTTATTATTTAGACTTTAATCAGCCTGCCCTCTTGTCTTGTATTTTATTATGAAGTATTTATTTGAGGGTGATTTAAAGATATCTAGATAATGATAAAGTTTACCTTCCATTTCTAATACAATTAATATAAATATATTTATGTTATTAGTAATTTAAAAAGAAATATATATCTACCTGATATGTTTAAAAAAACAGATTTTAATTTCAAAAAATTTAACCGAATTACTGACAGCTACTTGATAAATATTTTTGACCACATTTTAAAATACATTTTATTAGTTTTATAAGAAAATGTTACTATTATAAAAAGACAACCAAAATATTGAGAATTAGATTGCCAAGCTAATAATAGCATTTTATTTTTGACTAATTGTTGTGACTTAAAATATATTAAATATTGATAAGTGGGATTTAGTCATTCAATAAAATTTATTAAATTATTTATAATTTAATGATATTTAATTATTTTTCACTTATATTTTTGATCAAAATGTCAGAAATAGTCGTCCTTTGATAATTACAGAGTTAAATCGGATATTTTAATATTGAAATATACTTCTTTATATTCCTATCCGTTAATCCTATTAGTTTTAGATTTGTCCTCTAGCTTATTTTTTAGCTCTTCTTCATTTTAACTCTTATAATTTTTATCAACTTCTTCTTGAATTTGCTATTCAACTTATTATATAATATTTTATTCTTAGATCATATCACCAACCAAAGGGAATGCAATTTATGATAAATCTGTCTAAAGAAACCCTTACAATAAATCATCAATATCTTTCTTTTATATTAAAGAATCAATTGTTTGTTAAATTTAAGGATAACTTGAAGGTTTTTAGAGTATTACTTTATCATAATTCTGATCACTTGAACTTGTTAAACTTTTATATGATATGAGAAAGTGAAGATTGTGATCTTATTTATTCAATGCCCACCATTCTAAATAAGATGATGTTTTTGCCCATTCTTTTATAACCATATCAGAAGCATCAAATGCTAGACTCTATTTCCTTGCTTTGAGAATTTATTCTAATTGATTTTTATGTAATATTAAGAAAGATGAATTATCTTTATCAAATTTTTAAGCTACTATTTTATCCTATTTTATCAGTTTTTAACTTAATTCTCTTAGGTTTTTAATATATTCACATGGCCTCAATACAACTTAACCAAAAACAATCTTTCTTTCGAGATTTGAAGATAAAAAAGAAATAGTCTCTTTTGCACTATGAAGCTTAGAAAAATCAATTCTATCACATAGTACTCTGTATTATGGAGAAAATTAAACTAAAAGAACTATTGGTATTTTAACTTTGTTGTCAATTAAGATTATTTATTTTGAACAAAAAACTCCTATTTATGCAGCTCCTTGTATACCATCATTTATTCTTATATCAATTTCATCATCTTCTTCACTTTTTTATATTTTTACTTTTTTCTCTTAAATTGGTTCTATAGGCAGAATTTAATCTGCAAAAACCATATTTGGTTTTGCAGCAAAATTTCCCTTCTAATCTGAAGTTGAAGTTTTTGTTTTTATAATTGTTATTTTATTTGCCACTAATAGGGTTTGTTTTGCGCTAATTTAGTTAGTATTCAGAGGATCATATTCTGATTTCTAAAGAGACTTATTTAAAATTTATTAATCGTAGTCTTTTAGTTATTTCTTCTTTTCTAATAATTTGAAGATTGATTTAGCCTTAAGCTCTTACTTTTTTAATTTTTAAGCAATATTTATATAATTATTTTAATTTATTCCTTTAAAGAAAGAAACAGCCTTTTCAATTTTACTGCTGTATAAATGAACATTAATTCCATGTTCTTAAAAAATCGTATTTTCAATTTCCTTAACTCTGGCTAAAATTATTGGCTCATTTATCTCTTTAAGTAAAGAATTAGCTTAAATCAAATCCGTAACTAATTATAAAAATTACATAAAATTTGTACTTTGATTTCTTTTTTGAATTCTAAATTCTATCGTGACAACTGCAGGAACAAATGGCTGTTTTTTTCCACCATTCATTTTTTTCATTTTAATTATAATTTAATAAAAGAATGCTAATTAATTTTTCTTAATTTAGTAACATATAATAAAAATAATAGTAATATTATTTTAAATTTAAAAAGTATTATAAATTTTGAAAAAAATTGATAATTTGCTAGTCAAAATGTCTTCATATGTACAACTTTATAAAATAATTCTTACCTCGTATTAAGTAAATATTATTTGAAGAATAAATCTGCATTTTAGAGATATGTCATAATTATACTAAAATTCATAAAGGTATATGTAAAAACTGTGATATTATAGATAAAAGAATAGAGTAATGAGAAATTAAACAAATATATATTTGTAAAAATAAAATTTGTTACTTGAAAAAAAATGATTCAGATATAATATATTAATTAAATATTAAAACGCGTGTTGATTTATATTAAGAAGATATTAATTTTTAATAAATAATGGAATTTGATGATCAAATTTTGAAAGCAATATATAAATTGGCAATCTAAAAGCCATTTAAATATTTGATTCAAGATTTTGGTCGTCCAGCTCTTGCTTAGGTTCATTTTAGAAAATTAATTAAATAAATTGACCCTGCAATAACAATAACAGATTGTGACAGATTCTATTAGAAAGCATTAATTGATTATAAGAGTTTAATAGGATTGACAGTAGAAATACTTGAAAAATTAACAGAAAATTAAGAAAAGATTGAATTAGTATTATCTGCATAGGATATCTCAACAATAGAAATAATTATCTAAAATTATAAATCCAAAAGATTTGATATTGAAAGAGTATTCAAATACTTTGATAAAAATAAAGATTTAGCTTTAGAGGAAAGAGAATTTAAGGAATTGATTGAATTTTACCACCCTTCAATTACTCTAAAAGAATATCAATCTTTAAGAAAATAGTTTGGAAATTTGAAATTTTCATGTGATCATTTGAGATAATTGTTTTAAAACTGGTCAGAGATTGTGGATAATAAAAATAAAAATCCATAATAAGAATAAGTGAAATATTCAATAAGATCATAATAAGATTAAAGGATATAAAAGGAGAAAGAAATTCCTCATCAACCATAAGAAATGGAAGATGTAGATTAATAGGAAGTGAAAGAGGATGAAGTAGAATTTGCAGATTTCTTAAATATTGATTTAAATATGAAAGGAGCAAAGGAATTAATATAGAAAAGAGAAGAATTGAAAAATTCAAAATAGGAATTTGTAGATAATGAATTTCCCCCATCTGTAAGAAGTTTAGGAATGAGATATTCTTAACTATCATGGAAAAGAATGAGTGACATTTTTAAAAATAAGTTAAAAATGTTTAATATTGATGATTAAAAGGATAGCAGAGTAGGATTAGGGAAATGGATTTCTCATAAAGATATTAGATAAGGTATATAAGGAAATTGTTACTTTTTAGCATCAGTAAGTACGATAGCATGCAGATGGTATTTAAATATAGATTATTCTTAGGCCTGAAGTGATAAAAGATTTATTTATAAGTTAAAAAGTAAATTCTTCAAAATTGTACGCAGTAAGATTATGTTAAGATGGTGAATGGAAAGTTATTATGTTGGATGACTATATTCCTGTTAATAATTAAGGAAATCCATCATTTTTAAAAAATGCTGGAGCAGAATTGTGGGTAGCTTTATTAGAAAAGGCTTGGGCTAAAATGAATAATAATTACACTGATATAGATGGTGGTGATCCAAGAGAAGTTATTAAAAGTATTACAGGTGGTCCAACTTGGCTTATATTTACGAATGCTCCAGATTTTTCATAATAATTATAAAAATTTTCTGACATGAAATGTGTTATGGCAAGTGGTACATTTAAATCAAATCCAAATTATGCCAATTATGGTTTAGTTGCAGGACATGCTTATTCATTATTGAAGGTTTATAATTTGAATCATCCAACTAAAGGATAAGTTACTATTTTAAAGATTAGGAATCCTTGGGGTTAAAAAGAATGGAATGGAGATTGGAGTGATGAAAGTTCATTATGGACAGAAGAATTAAAATAATAAGTCAAATTTGGTAAGAAAGAAGATGATGGAATATTTTATATGGAAATTAAAGATTTCAAAAGATATTTCTAAGCGATCTTTGTAGGTTATTTTAGAAAAGAATATCTATATAACTCTATAAAATAAATGGCTTAAAGAACTAAAACTATTTAATATGATATTGATGTACCAAATGATGGAGAATATTATTTCACAGTTCACCAAGAAGCTTTAAGAAGATATGCATAAAACAAAGATATCAAATATGAATATTCTTATGTAAGAATATTATTAGCAAAAAATAATGGAAAAGGAGATTAATAATTTATTGATTCGAAACAATAAAAAGATATTTAAGTTCATTTAGGAGGTAAATTAACTAAAGGAAAATATTCTGTTCAAATTAAAATTAAATGGGCTGTTCCAAGTTGGAATGAACATGAATACTAATTTAGTGTTTATGGATCAGAATTCTTGAGACCAAAATAAGTACCTAGAGATGCAGAATTAAGAAAAACAGTTATGTTATAAGTAGCAAGAGAAAATAAAAACTTATAATTATTAACCAACGGTTTATTTTGTTCTATGGAAACTGTTGTTTCTAAAGGGTATAGAATTCCTATATATATTTTAGATTAGGTTATTTCTATTATAAAAATACAACATAGAAAACATTCAAATTAAAGAATACTTTATCGAATAAACAAGGTGTTAAACTCTTAAAACCTGAAGTTGGAGATAGTTATTAAATAGAACTAACTCCTGGAGAAGATAAAATAATACTCTTAAGTTTGGATCCAAGTGGTGTTGCATTTACTCCCAAACATTAATTGGTCTAATGACATCATTAAATTTTATCAATATTATCTGATTTTTTTACATTTCTTAATATTAAAAATTAAATAAAATTATTTTATCCGCATTATTCCTACTAATTATTTTATTGGCATTATTCCTACTAATTATCTTATACATTATTCTGGATGATGCTATTCTACTATCCATATTTATGATCTCTAATATTTTATCTTATTCATACTTCTAGTTGTTTTATTAATTTTATATTCTAATCTGGATTTATTATGTATGTTAATTCCCTATTTTAATCAATATATTCTATTTGCATTTCTTTCTATATTTATTTACAAATAGGAAATTCATTTTTCAAATAATAAACTTGGATAAACTAATTTTGATAATTCTTTATATTTTAGACCATAATTTTCTTATCATTTTATTTTTAATAACTCGTCACTCTAATCAACTTCCAAAATAAATCTTAATTTTAAAGAATACTTATTAAAGCCACCATATTATTTTATCTGTTATAGCATCTTTTGTGCTATAGTTCATTACATTTATCGAAAAGAATTATAATAAGTTTTCATTCAATACTAATCTAATCACTAATTGTGTATACAGAAGAGATTCATATGTGAAATATGATAAATTTTTTCATCATTAATATTATATTAATTATGAGAATTATATAATTATTATAATATTTTCTCCTATGAATGTAAAACCATTATCGATTCTTTAAGAACAGTTTGAAACTTAGAAATCTTTATTCAGTCTTAAAAAAAAAGCAAAGCATAACTGGAACTAATATTATGAGAATCTTATTATTTATAACGTTTTAAAATCAATTATTTTTTTAGGGTATACCAATTTATTCAATAATCAAATCAGAACCAATTATATTATTGATTCATGGAGCTGGACATTGTGCCATGACTTTTGCTTTACTTATACAAGAATTAAAAACTTTTTGCAGTTGCTTTTCTTATGATATTATTTCTCATGGTTAATCTGAAAGAAAAGAAACTCTCACAATGTAAAATTTGATAATGGAATGTTAAACAGTGATAGAATATATTAGAATGAAATTCCCAAACACAAATATAATATTATTAGGTCACAGTTTAGGTGCTGCAATAGCATCAAAATTAAAGCATTAATCTTATATACGTGGATTGATAGTAATTGATATGATTGAAAATAAAGCATTTGAAAGCATTTAAATAATGGATTATTCTTTAAGAAAAAGGCCTAATATTTTTAGTTCATACGACAGTGCAATTAATTATCATCTTTAAAATAGTATAATTAGAAATCCAAATTCAGCTCAAATAACTGTTCCTAATTATTTAAATGAGAAATTAGAATGGAAAGTAGATCTGATAGAAACAAAAATATATTGGGATTAATGGTTTGATGGAATTTAAAATGGATTTGACACCTTTCCTTTTTAAAAAATGCTTTTCATAGCAGAAAGTGATAGAATTCCCACTGAATAATTTTTAAAATCTAGATATCCAATCCATATATTTGAAAATTCTGGTCATAATATTCATGAAGATGAACCTATTAGAATGGCAAAACATATATCAGATTTCCTTTATTAATAAAGAGTACCAATTAACTCTTTTGAATCAGAGAAACTAAAATAATTGGGTATAATAGGCTTTAGACCTAAAGTATTATAATATAAAGTTGAATTAAAAGATATCATTTGATGATATTTTTAAGTTTTTATTTTTCTATATAATTAGTATTAATTTCGAAATAATCTTAATTTAATTTATTAATGTTATCAACAGTGGATGTCAATTATTCATTATTGCTTATACTATTTCTATATATTAATAATAGTTTTTTAAACAATATTTTCAACTCCAAATAAAGGCTTAAATATAATATTATTATCCTTTTATGAAATCTGAATTTATATCATAGAAATTTTAATCTTTACGTTCTAGAATGCTAATATACTTTTCCTTAGTATTTAAATCTATTCAATTAGATTTCTTTTTTTATCAATTCTTTTTGATTTGTTTAATTTGACTAAGAAAACTTCTTAATAAACCTCTTTATATAATTCGAATAGGAAATCAGATTTAATTTTATCTTCCAAGTAATCATCTTAAGTTATAAGAGATCTTTTATTAATCCAACTTTTTCAGATTAAATTGTAGCTGATATAGATGCATTGACATGAGTTGAGAATTACTTATATATAATTTTTATTTCTAATTTATGTATATCATTCTAAGTCATCATCAATTTCATCTTAAGGTTCAGGTCCAATTTCAGGTAAATTATGTTCTGATTCCCATTGTTCAATCCATCTTTCTTCATTAAATTCTTCACCTTCTTCTCCTTAAAAGTTTGCTTTAGATGATTATAAATCTATTTCTTTTTATTCCTATATGTATTTATTAAATTTCATACTAATAACTAAGTTAATAGTTCTTTGGATGCTTATAATTGCGCTCTTTTTTCTTATAAGATTTCCTTTCTAATAGCGACATCCTCTCTTCTTAATTTACAATATAAAGTAAGAAATCTTTGTAAATATCCTAAAGCCCAATTATAATTCATGACTTTCTCTTCATCATAAATATCAATTAATTTTTCTAATCTAAATATAGTAGCATGTTACAAAGGAGCCTCTTTTGGTCCTCTGTGATTAATAAGTGCTAATTTAGCTAAAAATCTATAATCAATATAGGAAGCTACAATTTTCCAATTCAATTTATTTTCTTATGTGATTTCTTCTTTTTTGTAGCCTAACAAATAAAATAATGCTTTAATTATATTTGGAAATTTGATTACTCTTCTCTTTGTTAAGTTAAGAAAAGTGGAAGCAAAATCTTTAGCAGTAAATTATTACTTTAAGAAATCAAATTTAATACACTCTATTTCATAATTGTAATCTCTTTCTTTAGTTTCTTTTAATTCTTCTAAATTTGCAGCTTATTATTCAACAAATTGATTTTCTTAATCTAAATAATTCTCTTCTAATTTTTCAGGAATAGTATTTTCATATTCAATTTATTAATTAATATCTTCTGATAATAAAGCAATTTCTTTATCCTAATAACTTTATCCAAATTATTGTATTAAATCATATAATTCATTACGTTCCTCCAATGATAGTTTTCTATCTTATCCCAAAGTATCTCCACATATTATATATTATTATTAAATGCCTAAAAAAGGTGGTTCTGTAATTTATGGAAGTGAAGACAGATAATTTTTGAATTCCTCTTCTAATTACAATCTTTATTCTTCATCTTCAGCACTCTATAATTGTTCACCATGTTCAAGTTCCTTTGTTTTAATTTCTTACTTTTATGTTTCTACTTCAGAATTGTATTTAATTCTATTTGTTAATCCTGTATCGAAAGCATCCTTATATAAATGATATTTTATTACTTCAAAAAGAGAAGTTTCAAAATTCATTGGAATTGCAAAGTAACATCCTAATTTTGGAAACTTATGAAAATAAACTTTAGGTTCTTTTACCACATCTGCAATATAACAACCCTTATAAGTTTCAGGAGTTTTGCCTTCTTCCACAGGAGGTGGTTTAAGTACTTCATATGTTAAAACTGCTTATTCTGTTAAGTTTTAATTGAGTAAAAATTTTTAGTTTGAAGATGTTCCTACATATTTTAATAGTTTTGGTGCTTTTTGATTAATAAATGCATTTTCATCATCAACAAGATCTATATCAACTTCTTATTTTTAATGACTAAAATAACATATGTACACACCAGATAAATTCTAAATTCAAATATTAAAAGATTATTACAAATTTCTTCATTAAGAAATCAGGAAATTCTTCGATTATTAAATCTTAATGATAGGGGTGATTTTTAAGATAATCAATGTAATTCAGTTATTATTGCAAAGATTATTATTTGATTTTTAACAATTCTTCTAATCTTTCTTTCTCTTATTTTTACTATTGAATAAAATTTTAAGTGTTTTATTCTTTTTTTTAAAGCTGTTATCTATTAGTAAAGATTAGTATACATCATTTTAGAAGTGAATTTTCTCAGTGGAAGTTTTACAATATTATAATAACCATTTGGCTAGAAATTCAATAGGTTTTTAAGGTTGTGTGTTATAGAGTACAGTCAATCCATCGGCAATGACTCCTCCTATGGATTCTTAATGTAAATAATCTAAATCAATAGGAGATAATTGCATAATTTATTTATTTATGTTTAATTAGTTTTAATAAAGTGAAATAATAATGAATTATAATTAATGTAAAATTACAAATGTAGATTTTGTACAAATGAACGCTAATGTTTATATGCCTCGATTGATTAGATATCTAAAAAGGGTGATCTTGTTTAAACAATGAATATCAGTTTATATTACAAACATGGTTAGAGCCAAAATTATTATTTTTCTCGATCTATCAACTAAATTTTAAGAAAAGCAAAACATAGTATATATGTGAAAGTAGAGGATTATAAAATTTTGGACACTTAAGAAGAATATTTAAAACAGATCTATTATATGCCTAATTGTTAACTTTAACTAAAATAACTAATATAATATTATAAAGTACCAATAACTAATAATTTATAAGTTTAGCATTGATCATCCTATGTTATACTTTTAGGAATTAAAAGCCATAATTCTAAAATACATTAGTAGTAGATCTTAGGTTGAATATCAATGGGCAATTAATTAAATAGATAAAGAAGCTAAAAAAGAAGGTGGAATGAGTCCAAAAAAAAGTAAATAGAAAAGTACACCTTTAAACAAATAAGAATTATCATGTTTTTTAAAAGAATTAAATGAAACTCAAAAGTCTACTACCTTCTTATAATTATTGACAAATGTTGAAGCTGATAGAGCTGTAGAAAAAGATTGGTAAAAATAATTTACACAATCTCTTGTTGAATAAGATTTAACGAAAGCTATGTAATTTTCAACATTTCTTCAATAAAAAGAATTATAAAACCCAAAAGAATCTATAATCAAAGAAAATGCAACATCTAGAACTGTCTATTTAGGAAATATGAAAAAATAATTAAATCTTCAAATAGGCACTCCAAGAAAAACTAGCAATGTTATAACAAATAATTTTAGTACTGGATGTAGTACTCATGTTCATTCAAATGTTAATATTCAAATCTAAAATAATTAGGTTAATTAAATAAATTAAAATAATGGAGGAGTATCTACTATCTAATCTAATAATAAGATTATTAATCCAAATTTACATTTTTTCAACCATAATCACAATCATTAAATTCGATCATCTAATTCATAAAATATTATTAATCATAATTTCGTCACTAAAACTAATATTGTCAATAGTTCTAATAGTAATACTTTAAAACCTTAAACTGTATACAAAATGTAACCTTTGAGATTAATGGAAGTACCAAAATTGAAAATTAAACTCAATCATTAAGATCCAAAATCAGAAAGAAAATATGATAAAATTCGAGAAAATAGAATTGATTGTTTTACTTAAAGAATTAAAACATAATTAGATGAATCTAATACTGCCAGACTTAGTGTTAATCCTAAAACTGTTGTAATAAAAAGAAGATAAAATTTTTAACATTGATTATTGATAAATTAGTTACTTATTATTCATGTTGTAAATTTATTTATTTAATTTATGCAATAAACATAACAAAATTTATAAACAACAGGTCCTTTAACCTAAAAACCTTATAAATAATTACCTAAAGATAATGAAAAACTAAGTCTACTTGAAAAATAGATGGGAGATTTAGCAAATGATTTTGAAGATATGAAAAGAAATAGAGAAGAGGCAAAAAAATAACTGGAAGCTAAATTTTTAGATGTTCATAGGTTATTATAATTTATATTTATTAGGAAAATATAAAATACTAGAGAATTCATTACTTCAGAAGGTGAAAGAATAAATAATACTTTAATTGCATATGATTCAAAATTTACTTAAGTGTTGAATTAAACAAATTAGAAATTATAAACATAACATGACACATTTGCAAATTAAACAGATTAAAGAATTGTTGATGCTAATTAATATCTTAGAGATCTAACTTAAAAATTAGAAGAAGAGAAATAAGAAAGAATGAGATAATCTGATGAAAATCTTAGAGAAATTAGAAAATAATTAACTAGTATTATTATTAATTATCAATTTAGCTTTATTTGAACATTATGAAACTGAAAAAAATACAAGAGTTGAAAGAGAAAAAGAGATTTTGAGAAAATTAGATGATGAAGCATATTAACTTAATGAAAAATTAAGTAATGAAAAATCAGAGAGGATTCTTTAAAGTAAAGAATTAAGAGATCACACTGATTAAGAAATATAAAGATAAAGAAAAAATAATTAAGATTTTCATGTAAAAACAATTGATGAATTCAATCATGTTGCTTATAATTTGAAAGAAGAAATGAATCAAAGATTTAATTAGCAAGGCTAAATTATAGATAATTTAAGCAGTGTTATTAAAACTATTTAAGATACATTAAAAATAATTGGTAAAGGTGTTAACGATTGATAATTAATATCATTATATTTCATATATTATATAAATGACTAATAATAGCCATAATCATTATTATCTTGGATCAATTATTAAATAAGGAACTAAACCTGCACGAAATGTTGATATTACTTATGGAAACTCTTCTGATCTTTTTATTTTTGGATTATCATTAAAATCTTAAGTTTGAAATGCTATATATGGATTAATAGGAGCAGCAATACTAAAATAATGACAATACAAGACTTTGCTTGGCCAAATTGCTATTGAATATTCTGTAAATTCCTTTATAGAGACTGGTTTACTTAACATTAGTTCATAACAATCATTTACTATCTTCATTTTACTATGTCTTAATGTGTATTTTTCTTAATGTATTGGTTATTTAGTTAGATTTTTTTTATTATAAATACCAAAATTAATAACTGCAGATTTTTTTTGATAATTTTTTGTACTACTTTTAAATAAGCATGGCTGTAAGAATCCTATAATTTTTAAGTCTCTTAAAGATGAAAATATACAACAAAATATTGTAGATGAACTCATTTTCCAAGCCCAATCTTATGTACTTAATTATTATAATCTGGCTACTTCAACTCTCTCCAAATTTAAATTTGGTTGTTAAATAATTTATTAAGTTTCTTATTGATTTGATTAAGCCAAATTCATTTTGAATATTTTTGATTATCTTGTTTTCTTAATGATATCTTATTATATTTATGCCTAACTGAGGATGACTGATTTTGAATGTTCTTTTCTTTTAATTTCAATTATCCCAATAGGACTTTAATCTAAATCCTATCCTTTCAAAGCATTAATTATGTGCTGCAATCGATTTTTTATTTTTGTTTATAATGTATTTTAGATATTTGAGATTTCATTCAATTGCCTATCAAATTATTCTAAATTTTAAGCACTTGCTTATGGTTATTTTATTTATTGAAGGTGTTAGCTTAATTCATGTTCCATCTTTGTCATTAGATCATTTATGATTTATTTAAAACTTTAGAAGCATTAGACCAGTTCTTTTATATTAAAACCTTCTAATATATTCTTAATTGTCGTTTTATCATGTTCATGTTCACATTAAGCGCATAAACATCTATTCTCACAATGTTGATCATTACAATAATAAACAATATCTTGTTTATGACTAGTACATTGAAATTATTTCATTTCTATTTTATTATATTATTATTTATAAACCTAATTTCTTATTTATTTATCTCAATCTATTTCAATCAGATTCAATTACTTATAATTTGTTTATTTCAAGGATTTACAAAATTCTATAGTTCCTATTGAAACTTAATCAAAAGATAAAAATTTGAAATCTTTTTATTTTATTTGTAAAATATTATTTTAAATTCTAAAACGTATATAATAAAAATTATTAAAATTTTTTTTGTAAAAAAATTATATTTGTTGTTATATCCTGCCAAAGAGAAATTCAGAAATTAATATAAATCAAAACAATTTTATTAGCTTTCAATTTTCACTAATTGAAAGTCGTAAGATTGTTTCTTTATTTATTTATATATATTTAACTATATTAAATCTTAGAAATAATATAAGATTATCAATAATATATTGTATATGTTGATAATTATAACCATCCAAAAATATCATTCAAAAGTATTAAATCAAAATTTTTATCTGTAAGAATTTTTTAAAAGATATTATTGGGCTTAATAAAAGCGATTATTAATTAAAACAGGTTTTAACGCTATGATAAAGCAATCAAATTTTGGAAAAGCCAAAGTAGCTATTAATAAACAACAATTATATTAGCTTTTCAATTCTAAAGAAATTTAAATAAGAATAGAGAGTTTATATAGTAAGTTATATTTAAATCATTTAAAGACGGAATAATGAATTGATTTATATTTAAAATCTTTTTACACATTAGTTTATAATAATTTTATATTATAATAATATAAATTAATTTGATTTAAAATGGAGCAATTAGTTTCTTTACTTTAAAAAAGGCAACTCTAAAAAGAAGAGAGATTAAAAGCATTGATTAAAATTATTGATAAAAGAATTGTATAAAAATTGTACAATTTGAGAAACTAAGCCTATATAAAAATTAAAAACTTCAAAATAGCAAATCGAAACAATGTCAAATTAATTTCTGATAAAGATGATGAAACAAGTACATCCTAAATAAATATTTTAAATACAAATCAATTTAGAGAAGCATTATATTAATTGTAAAATTACAACCTTGTGTAATTGGAAATATTAAAAAAAGAAACTTTTTGCAGAATGATTTAAATTTTTTAAAAAGGAGTAAATCATCATTATCGACATTTATTAATGAAACTTATGAATAAAAATTCAAGAAAAATAATTCCATTTTTAAAAATCTTTGCTTATAGATTTAATTATTAATCAAGATTTCTGAAAATCTTATAAAAGTTTTAGAGAAATAGAGAAATGTCATTAAAAAAAGAAATGAAAAAATAAGAAGCTATTTCTAAGTTTGTTATGGCTTTAGAAAATAAAAAATTAAATTGTTTTTGTTATTGGAAAAGAAAATTTCAAATCAATTAAAATGAGACATCTTAAAATGATATTAAGAAATAAAATGAATTTATATAACTAACATTTTAAATTGTTGCTCTATTAACTAAATAAAAATTTAAAGTTCTTTCAAATGCATTCATAGAATTAAAAAAGAATGAATAAAGAAATGCTTAAAAAATTGCAATTATATTTAATTTTAAAATCCTATTAAAAAGACTGTTGTTAAAAAATCTTTCTTTTTCATACAATAAAATCATTTGTTACAAAAGAAATAATAAGGGATCATAATGTGTAAATGTTGATATCATAAAAAATTTAGTAATTTCAATTATTTAATATTTAGTCTGTAATATCAAGCAAACTTAATTCATGTCTGAATCAAGCACATCAAAAATATCAGAGAAAAAGAAGAAACTTGATTATTTATAAATATTTATCTAAGATAAATATGAATGAAGATTAAATGATAAGTAAATGTTTTATGAGATGGAAAAGAATTTTAAACTAATTTAATTTTTAAATGAGAATAAAAATTATTTAATAAAGTAAAGAACTTGAAGAAGATTAATAATTATTAATTTAATAATACAAATAATTATCTATTGAAAATTCAGAATTACAATAAAGGTATCAACAAGTATAAACATATTTTCATACTCCAACTGGTTTATCGGTAAAGAAATCAGAAACAAAATAAAATTAATAAATTATTTAAGGGCAATAATAAGTATTTTAGTTGTAATCATAACAGTAAGAAGCATTTTGGGATGAAGAGATAATGTAGAATGAAGATTATTCTCCAGAATTTGTAGAAAACATAGAAAATTAAAATGTTGAATTAAAATATAAGATTGAAGAATAATAAGCTAAACGAAATAAGTATCTAGAAGAATTTTAAAATAGAAAATAAGTAAAAAATAAAAAAATAATATTTTTAGGAATTATTGCAATAGATTGCTTTAAAGAAATAAATGTAAAAAGTTTAATGAAAATTTTGTGAATGATTTTTATATATATAATTTTACTTAAACGATTTAATTAATATGAGGATGTCATTAATAAATATATTTTATGAATTCAGAGATAGCGGATAGTTTTTCTTTATTATTAGCATACATAACTCTAATTAGTGTAGGGTATTCATGGAAGAGATATTTGAAAAAACTTGAAAAATAAAAAGAAACATCAAATTAAAATGAACCCATCAAGACTGTTGTTTAAGAAGATCAATAAGTAGATAAGTTAGACAGTAATAATTCTCAAACCATTCAAAAAAAGCCAGACAAAATTGGTTTACTTGAGTTTTATTTGTATAGTAACAAATAATTCAAATAGAATAAACAAAGTTTTTATAAATACTTAAATTATAGGTTGTGATATACTTAAGATTGGACAATATATTTTATATATTTCTAATAATCTAATGATTATATCTATCATGAATGCTTATTATGGAATTGATGATTTTAATAAATCTTGTTGGGTACTGGGTTTAGTAATTGTTCCATTATTTAATTTAATATAGTTATTTATCTTTTTCATTGCATATTTATTAGCTTAAAGAATACTCAAGAAAACATAGATTGAGAATATTGATATAATTTTTATACTGGTTGGTTATTTTTATTTTATATTGGGAAATTTAATTATAGTGTCATCTATTAATGGAAATGATTATTTGATTGATAAAGCCTTTTCAATCTTTGGTATATAATATATTTTTGAAATAATCCTCAATAAATTGAATGAAAAAGTAGATTTAGATGTTGTATCGAAATTAGATTAAGTGTTGAAAAAACTTTGAATTATAATAATTAATAAATTTATCATATTTTTTTAAATTTACAATAGATAAATAAATCTTAAAAATAACCTCATCAGTTTAAAGTAAATTAAGGTCTTTGAGATTTAAATTTAATTAGTTCATTTTTTTTGTAAATGATAATTGGTAAGGGTTATGAAATTTATGTTATTTAGGAAATATCAATAAATGGTCTATATACTTTTTGTTATTAATCTAATATTTATTTAGAAGTTTTATCATAATATTATTATTAATAATATTTTTTATGTTATATTCTCAGCTACTTATTAGTCTATGTACTTTTTTAAAAGCAATTGTGATTGTAATTTTTCAAATCAGAATTTATTTATCTGAAACTATTAGGAGGTTAAATAATTGTTGAAAGTCTTTTTTCTTATGAATTTTTAGGGCTTTAGTGTGATCTTATATTAATTGTATAGCTTCTAATCTATCTCTCCTTTACTCTTGAGGAATGTTAGGATATATAATCCAATCCTATTAATTGATTCATCACTGAATAATAAAATAAAATTTAGTTTATGAAATAAATATAGTTAATTTATTTATACTAACAGTTCACTGCAATGCAAAGATTTTAATTTCTTTTTTTGGAATAATAAAAATATATATAAATTTTAGTATTTTGTATTTATTTTTATGAATACATTTCAAAATCATTAATCATAATAAGTTGATCAATGATTCAAATGGCTTTGGTAGTACTCATACTTTGATAAATGCTATTTTTAACATTGATCTTAAAATTTCGATTTCTTTATTTACATGAAGTTTTAGAACTGTTTCCTCCAGAATTGCATGATTTAGGAGAAGAAAAGAGTTGACTATCAATACTTCTTACTCTATTTGGCAAAGAATGTAAAGTATTTAAACCTATAATCTTAAATTTAGAATTATTAGGAATAGGTGGAGAATTAGATGAAGTCTAATAAATTGATGTACTTCTAAGACTATTATTAGAAACAGTTTGGTCTTATTGAATTCTTTTTCTTTTTATTTTTATTGTTATTCTGTTGAATTTCTTAAAGAGTGTATTAGATTTCGCATCATTTATTGTACATCTTTTTTGAGGATCAGTTTCTAACATTTATTATAAAAGAGCTTTTATTTAAGGTGATACATTGATTTCTGAAAAGTCAATAACCCCTAATTAGTTTTTAATTAAAGTTTCTTAGTAATCTTCTACTATAAAAGGTGATTTTCCAAAACTTACCATTTAATAAAAGATTAAACCAACACTATAAGTATCAATTTTATAATCATAAGGTTGATCATTTAGAATTTCTGGTGCCATATTCCCTGGTGTTCCACATCTTTAATATTAATATTAACCTTCTGAATTATAATAATCAGCTAAACCAAAATCAGAAATCAAAATATCATCCAGATTGGGTTTTCGAAATAAAATATTTTCAGGTTTAATATCTCTATGTATAATTCCTTTAGAATGAATATTTGATAATGCATCTATTATTTTATACATTCCTTTCAAAATTTCCTCTTCTGAAAATGAAGTCTAAGTAATTACATCATCTAAGCTTCCATATGCTAATAATTCTGTTATAAGAAATATATATTTTTAAGTTTCGAAAGTCTCTAAAAGTTAAACAACATTTGGATGATCCATTTTTCTTAGAATATCCAGCTCCTTAATAATACATTCTAAATCGAACTTATCTGAAGATTTATCATAAATTTTTGATGCAAATTCTTTTCCATCACACTTTCGAGTTACTCTATAAACCTAAATCATATTTCTATTTATAAATACATCCGCATAACTTCCACATCCAATTTTATTATTGATTATATACGATTCATTAATCTTTTTTTGAATACAAAATTTCTTTAAATCCTTAAACCATGCTTCTACATACCCAAAAAATTGAATGCTTTGTTAATTTTTTGTTATTTTCAAACCTTATCCTACATGTTGTATATGGATTAATTCAATTATTGCATTACTAACATCACACCATTAATACAGACCCTAAAATAAATTGAAATTAGGAATACATTTTTTTTTTGTTTCCTAATTATTGAACCAGCTTTTTAAATAGGCTTATTGAAATAAGTTAGTTTATTATTCGAGAAAAAGAGAAAATAGTCTTCTTTGAAATTTTCTTTCATAATTTAAACATCACTGTTATTCCAAAATAAAGAATTTGGGCAAGTAAAAATCGAACTAGTAATCTAAACTGGATTTGATTTCATTTATTTAATAATTAATCTTTAAAATATTTAATTATGTGAAAAAGAAAGTAATAATAGTCTTATTGTTGATAATAAATCAAAATTTTTATCAATTTAATAATAATGTATTGACTCATAAAATCTGTTGATTGGAAAATTTTGTGTGGTTTAAAAATAAGAAACTTCATTAAATACTCGATAATTATTTTTTGTATAGATTAATAATAATATAATAACTATTTATTAAGTAAAATAATTCAAAATTCAAAGTTAATCAGGTTTGATATCCATAATACTCTTATTTCTAAGTACTCTACCATTTGAATTTGCTCATTAAATTTTCAGTATAACTTTGGAACTATATTATAATAAGAATAATACACTGGCTAATTCTTATTTTCCTATTGCTTCATGAGTCTATGAACTCATCACTCCTAACTCTTTTTACATTATATCATTTGTTAATTAATTTCTATAATTTTCACGACTAAGTGGAATTTGAATAGTGTTTGTATATTTTCTCAAAGTTGTAAGTGTTTTAAATAATGAATTAGTATATTCTTATTTTGGAGGAAATAAGATTTTCCTAAGATTATCTACATCATATTGCTCCTCTTCATTAATAATATATAATAGTTTTTCTTTTAATAATTTGTCTTCTCTTTATATTTCTTCTTCATAAGTGTGGTATAAAAATTTAAGAGCTTTTTACCAACCATCAGTTTTAGATTGTTGTATTTAGGATGCAATTTTACCATTGATAATTTATAATAATTAATGGGAGACTTGTTAGACTTATTAAATGATTTTGTCTAGATTTTAATTAATATCAATAAATTATAAACATTCTTAATTAAGAAGTTTGCAAGCATGTGAATTGATTTTAGTCAATAATTTTAATAAATATTCGCTTAATTCTTTATATTATAATTAATTCTAAAAGTTTTGTTATTGTTATTAATCATTGTTAACAATAATATCTTATGGTTTTTATTTAGTAATAGTTGGTGTTACACTTCTAGCTTTATTAGGATTATTGGGATTATTATGATAATTAGTAGTATTAGTATTTTCTGAGAGTGTATAAGATTTAGTACATGATGAAAGAGCTTTGATAGTTTAATTAGTTTCATTAGAGTTTTTAGGAAGGATAGTGCCAATGACAATAATTTTAGATGGAGGTGTTAATTGATTTTTGAGAAGCATAGTTAAACTAGAATCTCGAAAAGGAATAAATACTTATTATTAAGTTCCTTGTTGTTTAAGAAGGGCACTAAAAACTTTGAGTAAAGCAGTAATACAATTAGAAGATTGAGGGGATTTAGCATTTATGGAATTGTTACCTAAGATTTCAACGAATTGAATTTTGGATTTCATAATTTTGAGTGTTAAGATAGTATGTAATTTAGAGAATTATGTTTTTTAGATACCTTCTTAACAAATGAGTAAGGATTCTTAATAATTTTGAGCAAGTACTTCAGTCAAATTTTCTACATAAGTTTCATTGATTTTATTTCTTATTCTTAATTCTTTAAGTGATTTATCTTGACTTAATAGATCGATAGCAGATTGCATATAAAGTTAAATCATAGATATAGTAACTTATTGTATTTACATTTGTTCAAATAAATATTATAGTGATGAATGTAATAAACCTTCATTATGGAGTGAAAACCCTAAAGCATGAGACTTACCACTTTATGTTTATCCATAAGTAATAATACATGCATTTTATTGATTTCTAATAGCTGAATCAATGATTGGTATACAATGTTATTATAATTCATGGTTCTCTTGAAAGATAGCATTAAATTAATAACTCTTCTCTTCAAAAGATGATTGTGAGATAACTTTGACAGTATTTTCTTAAATAGTAAGTCCATTATCTTCTTCATAATCTGGTTTGACTTTCAAATATACTAATATGTTATCAGTCATATTTTAAATAAATGGATTAACGATAAAAATTAGAATGAATGACTTTCTAGAAATAATTAATCTGTTTAAAATGAATAAGGATAGTAAGAATCATCAAGGTTAATAAAGTGATGAAGAGAATGATGAAAACAGAAGAATAAAAGTGAATGTATTAAAATAGATAGAGAAGAGAGGATTATAAAAAGAGTATTAGAAACAAATGATTAGTGAATAAAATTAAAATTAGAAAGAGAAGGTGTTGAGCATGTAAAAAAATAAATATAATAAGATAGAATGTGGTAATTTTTAATAGTAAAATAATTGGTGTATAATTGCGCCAAAAATAGGGAATGCGGGAATATTTATAATTGGAATGGCTGTGAAATGAATTGATAATAAATAAAATAATAAAAGTGAATGAGTAGAAGAAGAGGATAATAATAGGAAGAAGAGAAAAAAGGAGGTTCAGATGAAGAGGCTTAAGAGGAATAATTGGGAGTATAATCTTCAGAAGGTACTCCAGAGGAAGAAGAATCAGGGGAAGATTTAATTAATGATTAAATGATGAATGATTATTAACCTATACCTGAATTAGATAGATATGAATCAGAAGGAATAAATGATGAAGAGGTTGATGGAAATATGAATTACGAATAAAGGAGATAAGCAGAATTAGAGATTAATAGGAGAAGAAGAATCGATATGGAAGATAGAAGAATACCTGGTGCTATTTAAGATTTGAGTGATTCTGAAGAGATTTCATATTAAATTGATGGTCGACTTTATATAAATGATCCATTAGAAGAAGAGGATACAGATGTTGTTGAAGAAGAAAGATATTTAAATATTGAAGAATGTAGAGGCAAATTAAATGAATGGATTAAAGATGATAGAACAAGTATTAATCATATTTAAATTTAGAGGCTTGGATTAAAAGAGCTTTTAGAAAGATTTTAAATGAATGCAAAAAAGGTAGTGATTAAGAACCATTTTATATATAATTGATTAAAGAAATGTGTAAAGCAAATAAATAATCACTTGAAGTATTATATCCAGATTTGGTATCTGCTAATGCCACTATTGCATTATGGGTAGCAGAAGAACCTAAAATTATTTTACCTCATCTTAATGAAGCTGCAAGAATTGAAGTCAATAAAAGATTCAGTCATTATCATAATATTCATTAAGAAATTTTTGTTAGAATTACTAATCTTCCAGTTATTGATATTATTAGGGAATTAAGATTTAAACATTTAGATAAATTTATTCGTGTTATTGGTGTTGTTACTAGAAGAAGTGCTGTCTATTCTTAATTGAAAGAAATAACTTATGTTTGTGTTAAATGTGGAATGAAAAAAGGACCATTTTATTTAGAAAATAATGATAGCATATAATTAGGTGTTTGTATTCAATGTTAAAGTAGTGGTCCTTTTGAAAAATTATATAATCAATTGGTCTATAGAAATTTTTAACGATTAACTCTATAAGAATCACCAGGTTAAGTTCCTGCAGGAAGAGTACCAAGATAAAAAGAAGTTATTGTTTTAGGAGATTAAATTGATATAGCTAGACCTGGAGATGAAATTGAAGTTACTGGAATCTATACTTAAAGATATGATTATGCTCTTAATGTTAAACATGGTTTCCCCTTATATTCTACTATTATTGAAAGCAATTATATTAAAAGAAAAGATGATAGTGAATCTTTGAATATTGATAAAAAAATCAAAGATGAAATCTTGAAGTTATCTTAAAACCCTAAAATTGATAAACTTATCTATAATTCAGTTGCTCCATCCATTTATGGTCATTAACATGTTAAAATGGCTATTGCATTAGCTATGTTTGGAGGAGAATCGAAAGACATTCAAGGTAAACATAGAATAAGAGGGGATATTAATGTTTTGGTATTAGGAGATCCTGGAACTGCTAAATCTTAATTCTTAAAAAATGTTTAAAAGACATTCTATAGATCAATCTATACAACAGGAAAAGGAGCATCTGCTGTTGGTCTCACTGCTTCTGTTTAAAGAGATTATTCAACAAATGAATGGAGTATCTCAGGAGGTGCTTTAGTCTTGGCTGATAAAGGAATTTGTTTAATTGATGAATTTGATAAAATGAATGAACATGATAGAACCTCTATTCATGAAGCTATGGAATAACAAAGTATTTCAATCTCTAAAGCTGGTATTGTTACTACTCTCTAAGCCAGATGTAGTGTTATTGCAGCTGCTAATCCAGTTGGAGGCAAATATGATTCTTAATAATCATTTCATGATAATGTTGATCTCACAGATCCAATTTTAAGTAGATTTGATATTTTATGTGTTGTAAAAGATGAAGTAATTAAAGAGGCAGATGATAGATTGGCTTCATTTGTCATAAATAGTCATATAAGACATCATCCCATGGCTGCATATGAATTAAATCATGATCCAGATTCTGAAGAGAGTTAAAAAATCAAAGGATACTTTGTGAAGGAGAGTAAATAAACTTAAGATGAAGTTATTCCATTAGAATTACTCAAAAAATATATTTTGTATGCACGTACTCACATAAGACCAAAATTATAAAATGTAGATCATGAAAAAATATCTAAATTTTATTATTTATTGAGAAAAGAATCTGAAGTTTGTGGTGGTATCAATATTGCCATCAGACATCTAGAAAGTATCATAAGAATGGCTGAAGGTATTTTATAATTCTATATTGAATAGCTCATGCTAGAATGCATTTAAGAAATAATGTTATTGATTTTGATGTTTCAGTTGCAATAAAGGTCATGTTAGAGAGTTTTCTTTAATCTTAAAAATATTCTGTGGCTAGACAATTAAGACGTAAATTTAGCGATTATTTAACATTTAATGAAGACTCCTTTGATCTTCTATTAAATATGTTAAATAAATTGTACAGATAATAAGTATATTACCTTTATTATTAATTTTAGAAAGATTATTATTAGAATATCAAAAATTATAATGGTGATATAAGAGTTCCAATTTAAGTGTTGGAGAAGGAAGCAAAAACAAATGGAATTTACTTTAACTCAGATTTCTATGATTCTACAAAATTTTAAGAAGTTTACANTATCTTAAAACCCTAAAATTGATAAACTTATCTATAATTCAGTTGCTCCATCTATTTATGGTCATTAACATGTTAAAATGGCTATTGCATTGGCTATGTTTGGAGGAGAATCGAAAGACATTCAAGGTAAACATAGAATAAGAGGAGATATTAATGTTTTGGTATTAGGAGATCCTGGTACTGCTAAATCTTAATTCTTAAAAAATGTTTAAAAGACATTCTATAGATCAATCTATACAACAGGAAAAGGAGCATCTGCTGTTGGTCTCACTGCTTCTGTTTAAAGAGATTATTCAACAAATGAATGGAGTATCTCAGGAGGTGCTTTAGTCTTGGCTGATAAAGGAATTTGTTTAATTGATGAATTTGATAAAATGAATGAACATGATAGAACTTCTATTCATGAAGCTATGGAATAACAAAGTATTTCAATCTCTAAAGCTGGTATTGTCACTACTCTCTAAGCCAGATGTAGTGTTATTGCAGCTGCCAATCCAGTTGGAGGTAAATATGATTCTTAATAATCTTTTCATGATAATGTTGATCTTACAGATCCAATTTTAAGTAGATTTGACATTTTATGTGTTGTAAAAGATGAAGTAATTAAAGAGGCAGATGATAGATTGGCTTCTTTTGTCATAAACAGTCATATCAGACATCATCCAATGGCTGCATATGAATTAAATCATGATCCAGATTCTAATGAGAGTTAAAAAATCAAAGGATACTTTGTTAAGGAGAGTAAATAAACTTAAGATGAAGTTATTCCATTAGAATTACNGTTATTGATATTATTAGGGAATTAAGATTTAAACATTTAGATAAATTTATTCGTGTTATTGGTGTTGTTACTAGAAGAAGTGCTGTCTATTCTTAATTGAAAGAAATAACTTATGTTTGTGTTAAATGTGGAATGAAAAAGGGACCATTTTATTTAGAAAATAATGATAGCATATAATTAGGCGTTTGTATTCAATGTTAAAGTAGTGGTCCTTTTGAAAAATTATATAATCAATTGGTCTATAGAAATTTTTAACGATTAACTCTATAAGAATCACCAGGTTAAGTTCCTGCAGGAAGAGTACCAAGATAAAAAGAAGTTATTGTTTTAGGAGATTAAATTGATATAGCTAGACCTGGAGATGAAATTGAAGTTACTGGAATCTATACTTAAAGATATGATTATGCTCTTAATGTTAAACATGGTTTCCCCTTATATTCTACTATTATTGAAAGCAATTATATTAAAAGAAAAGATGATAGTGAATCTTTGAATATTGATAAAAAAATCAAAGATGAAATCTTGAAGTTATCTTAAAACCCTAAAATTGATAAACTTATCTATAATTCAGTTGCTCCATCCATTTATGGTCATTAACATGTTAAAATGGCTATTGCATTAGCTATGTTTGGAGGAGAATCGAAAGACATTCAAGGTAAACATAGAATAAGAGGGGATATTAATGTTTTGGTATTAGGAGATCCTGGAACTGCTAAATCTTAATTCTTAAAAAATGTTTAAAAGACATTCTATAGATCAATCTATACAACAGGAAAAGGAGCATCTGCTGTTGGTCTCACTGCTTCTGTTTAAAGAGATTATTCAACAAATGAATGGAGTATCTCAGGAGGTGCTTTAGTCTTGGCTGATAAAGGAATTTGTTTAATTGATGAATTTGATAAAATGAATGAACATGATAGAACCTCTATTCATGAAGCTATGGAATAACAAAGTATTTCAATCTCTAAAGCTGGTATTGTTACTACTCTCTAAGCCAGATGTAGTGTTATTGCAGCTGCTAATCCAGTTGGAGGCAAATATGATTCTTAATAATCATTTCATGATAATGTTGATCTCACAGATCCAATTTTAAGTAGATTTGATATTTTATGTGTTGTAAAAGATGAAGTAATTAAAGAGGCAGATGATAGATTGGCTTCATTTGTCATAAATAGTCATATAAGACATCATCCCATGGCTGCATATGAATTAAATCATGATCCAGATTCTGAAGAGAGTTAAAAAATCAAAGGATACTTTGTGAAGGAGAGTAAATAAACTTAAGATGAAGTTATTCCATTAGAATTACTCAAAAAATATATTTTGTATGCACGTACTCACATAAGACCAAAATTATAAAATGTAGATCATGAAAAAATATCTAAATTTTATTATTTATTGAGAAAAGAATCTGAAGTTTGTGGTGGTATCAATATTGCCATCAGACATCTAGAAAGTATCATAAGAATGGCTGAAGGTATTTTATAATTCTATATTGAATAGCTCATGCTAGAATGCATTTAAGAAATAATGTTATTGATTTTGATGTTTCAGTTGCAATAAAGGTCATGTTAGAGAGTTTTCTTTAATCTTAAAAATATTCTGTGGCTAGACAATTAAGACGTAAATTTAGCGATTATTTAACATTTAATGAAGACTCCTTTGATCTTCTATTAAATATGTTAAATAAATTGTACAGATAATAAGTATATTACCTTTATTATTAATTTTAGAAAGATTATTATTAGAATATCAAAAATTATAATGGTGATATAAGAGTTCCAATTTAAGTGTTGGAGAAGGAAGCAAAAACAAATGGAATTTACTTTAACTCAGATTTCTATGATTCTACAAAATTTTAAGAAGTTTACAAAAGAATTCAAGACTATATTGCCTTAAAATGATTTTTTTTTATGTGTTATTTTTTTAAACGCAATCACTAATTTATAATTCTAATTTATGTATAAAGTTTGGAGTAATAAATGTTTTTTGAGCATTTAGAATATATACTAATTTAAAGTTCATATAATAAAATATAATTAGATATTATCTATTTTTAGTTTAAATAATAATATTTAAATCTCATAATTGGCACCCATTAAATCAATAACTCTTAAGGTATTGTAGCAATCAATTTGATTTTTTAAGAAATTTTTTAAACGAGTAAAAGATACTTGGGTAATTTTTAAATAATACGCAAATTAGGAATGAATAAAAAGTGTAAAATGAATAAATAGAATTAAAAGAATACCTTGATAACAGAATTTTCTTAGTCATAGTTATATTCAAATGGTTTTTCCATCATTAAAATCAAAAGCCTCAACAATTAATTAATTGTAATTGATCTAAACTCTATGATGGTATTAGGATTATTTAAAATGATTTGAATGGGGTATGAATCTCAAAGTTATTGTAAGATGTGTTTAATAGAGGAATTAGCATTTGTAATAAATATATTCTTAAAAGACCTGATAAATGAAGTATTAAGAATATCTAAAAATATTACCTTCTCATTTCCATAACTTGAAAATTATCTATTTTTTATTCTTACATATCTAACCAACATACTAATGAAAAGAATACGATAATTATGAAATGCAAGAAATCCATTATCTTTAGTTGAATAACCTAATTTTGGTCTACTGTCACCTACCGTTACTCCTTTTATTGTTTTATGAGTTTGATTATCTCTAATTTAAACCATAAATGGATGTACTCCTTTATATTTACCATTAAATATCAATTTAGCATAAACCAGTGCATAATTAGATAGAAATTCTAATTCTCTAGGCCAAACTTTATTATAATCTTTATTCATTTACATTTAACAGCAGAAACAGATGGATAGTATGTAATATAAAGTAATTACTTTATGAACCATATGTAGCTTTAGTTTCTAGATTTTATCCATCAATTCCATGTCCGATTTCTGTTTATGCATATGCTCCAATGTTAAGAATTTATAACCCCATAAACTGTTCCTAAAAATCATAATTCGAGTACTGTCATTGCAAATGATACTGCTGTTGATGTTGTGCATTAAAATATGCTTAAAAGAGGAGCCCTATGCATAGCATTACCTAAATTGAAATTTAAATGCATTATTCTCAATTTCTCATATGATTTTATGTTCTATTCTTTCTCTACTCCAATTATGATAATCAGGATGATTACGAATACTTGGCTCCTATGCCATTATCTTCTAAGCTTTCATGAAAGCCTCATACATCTCATCATTAAAATATATCAGCTTTGTTAATTTCTCTCTTGGAAATTTTATTCGATCTCTTGCATTTTATAGCAAATATGTTGTAGGATGCATTTTTAGTACGTAATTACAATATTATTATTCTCATTACTAATTATTTTCTTTTTTTAATCAAAATACTAGTAATTTTTATTATCCATAAATTTTATTTTATTTTAATCCTCATTCATTATAATTATTTAGACATATTTAATTTTTAAATTAAATGATAACATTTCATAATCAAACTCGCATACTTTTAATCAAATAATACACCTTTAAATTAGAATATGATCATATACTCAATCAAAACTTATAGATCAATAAAGATAAAAAAATGAACAAATTCTTTAAGTTTCAACAAATGAAGAAGAAAAACAAAAGACTGTTCAAATAAGAAATTAACACATTAATCACCAATATTAAAAAAGATCTTGACACAAAAAAATAAATTAAGTTGTTAACCCTTAAGAAAAAAGGAAAATTCTCTTAGGATGAAGTAGACTATATTATGTAGGTTGTCAATGAATATTTTATTTAAAACAATCTGAATAATTAGGGTTTAAAAGATTATATTAAAGTGAAGACTTTTAGACTCTCAAAAATTTGGCTTACAATTGCTCAATAAATATGTAATATTACTGTTGATTAACAGAAAATTAGACACCAACAATCGATAAGGCTATTGGAGTAAAGATTAAGAAGCAGATTTAATCAAATATATCTAATAATATGGAAGAAAATAGAGAGAAATTAGTAAACATTTAAAACGAACACTATTCTTATCTAGAATTATGATTAGATTCATTATATATAATTTGGTGAATAATTCAATGGGACTAAATTTTATGAAAGATGAGTCAATTGAATAGAGAAATATTCATTTTGTTTAAATCTATTATATCCATTCCAAAATAATTGAAATCTCCTATAAAATGGACAGAGATTGCTTTAGAAATAAAGACTAAAACTAAAACTTATTTGAGACAGATGCGGCAAAAATAAAGTTCCTAATGAATTATATTGACATCGAAACTATTCTATACAAAAAATAAATTATATTAAATTGTATATCGAAACATAATGGCAAATTAGTATAATGTTCAAGTACTTCTTCAGAAGAAATACTCTAATTGTCAATCCTATTATTACTCTAGGACTCTTAGTGATTTTATAAATTAAGCCAGAACTCAAGAAGTGATAGAGTTTTATTAAGCTCTAACTTTTTATGAGAATTTAGAATACTTAAGACGATTCTATTTAGCCAGTATAGATTTTAACTCAATTTATAGATGAAGTGAAGGATAAACTTCAGTTATTTACTGAGTACTACAAATATCATAATGAAATTCCAAGATTTTTTATGCACAAAATTAGCAATCTTATGAGCAAGTATATAATGATTATACATAAGGTAGCTATCATGATAAAAAAAGAAGAGTTGAATATTATCGCATTAAACGTATTATTGAGGAAGAAAATCGTAAAAATCCGAACAAACCAAAAAAAGCTATTGTTGGAGATCAACCAGAAGAACTTAAGCCGTCTTCTCCAAAAGTTCAAGAATAAGTTTACAGCAAAATACTTGAAGACATTATTGATAACTCAACAACTATTGAAGCAATCAATAAAAAATTAGATGCACTTTAAATAAATACAGGTGAATTAATTTTATAACCATCTAACAGGGAGCAAGAATAATTACAAAATTTTATTCATTATCTGGTTGAAAAACAAAAACCAAAAGTTTAAACTCATTTTTAATTGCATTCACCTAAAACATTTAATCGAATCCCTTTTGGAGTGAGTCAATAGACTATTAAACAAATTATATCCAGAACATCTAAAAACCAATAGACTTTTCATCTATCTCCAAAAATACATAAAGATGAATAATTAGTCTCTTAAAATGGTCCATCAACACATAGATAAATCAAAGATCCATTATCTAAAATCTTAAGTCCTGTTCACATTTATACTTTAAATTCGCCATCTACACATCATCATACATTAGAAATTAAATAAAAAGTCAAGTATTTCATATTATCAATTTAGTATTTAAACTCATCGATCTTAATAGGCTAGTATTTCTCTTTCCAAATAATTTAAAATTACTGATAGTATTCCTTAAACTAGAAAATTTCATAAACCTACAAGATCGGAATTTAGATTTTCTAAAAAATGATATCGTTTTATATATATATGTATTATCTACTCAAATTTAAGAGAATTAAACATTAAATGATGATTTTCTCATTATATTTTTGAAGATTTATTAGGTCATCAGGGCCAAAAGATTAAATAGTTACCTTTCATATTGAAATAGTTTTTAAGTGACAATACTTGTATTCCTTTTTTTAATTCTATTTTTAAAATAAGTGTCTTGATAATGTCATTTATTGATTTATTCTAATTATTCTAATTTATATATGTAAAATATTTTAAGTCGATAGAGTTCTTAAATTAATTATATCTTTTTTTAAAGAAAATATAACAACTTAACTTAAGAAACTTTTAATTAATAAATGAGGTGAAATATAATACAAGCTTCCACCATTTACATAATGATAAAACTATTAATTACTTATGAAATTAATTTTTTCGATTCAATTTAAATAATGACTAAATAAAATATTCAGATAATCCCTTTTTGATAATTTTTTGTTAATTTGATTATGACTTATATGAATAAACATTTAGGTATGTTTGAACAGTAGTAAGTAACATATATATTTAAGTTAAATATATTAATGAAAATAAATATAAAAGTATTCATAAATAATCTATGTTAAGAGTGTAAATAATGAATATTTAGAATCTTAAGTTTTGAGTGATTTGATTTTGATAGTACTTTATATTTAGCATTAAATGATATTTATATTCTGCAGTTTCAAAATTACCATTATAAATTAGATTAAGTCTATTTGTTATATATTGAATGGAGCAATTAATTCTTTGATTGTTTTTTCTTAGATTATTCATAAGAATAAGTATATCAAGGTATTTGTTTAAGATTATAGATAATACATTTGATGATAGTGTTCAATAATTAATTTAAATCTGGTTATGATATGTATACATATGAAACGTTGATTATATAATTATATTAACTAATTTTCAAAATAGATTGGTCTTTTTCATTATTCTAATGAAATCTTCTTCACTTATTTCTCCATCACCATCTCGATCGGCTTCATCAATCATCTCTTATAATTCATCATCTGTCATTGTTTCTCCTAATTCTCTTGCAACTCGTTTTAAATTTCTTAATGTGATTTTTCCTGTGTTGTCATCATCAAATAAACGGAATGCTTTTAGCATTTCTTCTCTTGGATCTCTTTCACCCTGTCGATAGTTATTAACCATTTTACCATTTTCACAGTCATTAATTCGAGAAAATCAGGAAATTCAATTACTCCTTTTCCTTCACGATCAACTTCCTTAATCATTTATTTCACTTCTTCTTTTTTTGTTTCAAAACCTAAAGCTCGCATAGCTACTTTAAGTTCTAATCATATATAGATAATTTGTGTACCTTTTACATCAATATATCCTGTTCCATCTGTATCAAATAAATCAAATGCTTCCTTAATCTCTTGCTTCTATTCTTCATTAAGTTCAGATCGAGCTTTTCTTTATGGTGCAGTTTATCTTTAAGGTTATTGCTTATTTCTGTTCATGAAAATTTGAATTTTATTTTAATTAATATTGTTAATTAATCATATACTTATGTTTATATGTGTAAATAAATATTTATTCCCCTTCTTCTTATTGTATTTTAAACTAAATCTTTTAATTTCTATCTTAAAATCCTAAACTTTATTTTCATTCAAACATTGATATATCAAATAATCATTATATTTATTCTCATTATTAATAAAAATGTAAGAATTAAATATAAATTCAATGATTATAAAAAACTCTATTCTTTATAACTCAACTTCATTTGTGATTTCCTAGGCTTATTATTAATACTATTGGCAAGTGCTTGAAATGCTTAATGTACTTAGAGTACTTGAAGTACTTGAAATGCTTTCATAATTATAGATTTGAATGCATTAAAGAATGAAATATGTATAAAAATGGATGACAACAATTCAACTACAATTCTAACTCTAAAAAACCATTAATTTTATTTAATCATTTATAACTTCACAATCACTATACTGTTCAATCATCAATTATTTTGCATGAATAGCAATTTTAATCATATTTAATTTTAGATTGTTTTCATTATATGTTTAGCCTTCCACTTTCACATTTAATTAGCTTTAAATAATTGTTTAATATCAATATTTAATTGTATGTGGATTCATTTTATAATGGTATTTATAAAATAATTTAAATACAATAAGTGTTCACATCAATTACCTTAAGGATTTACTCTTATTAGTTAACATTTCAGGTATGCTCTATGAAACAGCCTCACTATCATCCATTTCTGAAGTTGATCTCTATATTCGCTAAAACTTTTAAAATCTTCTCTTTCTCTCTTCTGGATCTAGTGAAAAAGAGAAATAAGGATGTTCTAAAATTTAACTCACACTCAAGTTTGTTTCATACATCATACTCAGAATAATTTCCTAAGCTAATTTTGGTGTTTAAGCATTTTGCATTGTCTATAGATTTTACTCTTTATCTTTCTCATTATATTCTTTCCCTGTATACCTTTTTTTATATTTACAATTTAATACAAATAATATAAAACTCTACTACAATTCTTTATGTCTTAATCATCTATAATATTAGTTTGCTGGGCTTAAGAAAAATCAATTATTTTGATGAAATCTGATTTGTAAATTATATGATAAACATCGATTGTAACATGAATGACGTAATGGTCATGCAAATATTTGACTGCCTTTAGAAGTTGCTTTCAATAAACTAAAACATTTACAAGTATTATTGCTCGACATTACAAATGACTCAACTTAGGATTTTAAATTATGAATTTATGTAATGTTATTCCTCCAACAAATTCTGTTACAATATAATATTGACTTTTATATTGAAAGCATTCACGGTATGAAATTACTCCATGATAATTCAATTATCGTACTATTGGGACCTCTCTTAGTAACTGCTATTAACTTACCAACTTCATGCTACATAATTAAAGGGATATCTAATCTTAAATCCTAGATGGATCACTCAAATCTATTTATTTGTATAACTCAACTATATTATCAAAACATATGAGATTCCTACATAAGTTTCTCATTTATTCCAAATCTTTATAGTTTGCTTTAAAAAACTTTATCATTCCTTTGTACTCAATCCCAAAAGCTTGGATTCTTAAACAGTCCACATAAAAGTGTATAACATTTTCAAGTGTAAATTTATACTCATATTTCTGGTGACTCTATTTGATATTATGAAAGAGACTTTACTTTGTTGCCGATGGTCATTTTATCTTTATAAACTGTTACTATATAGTGAGTGTTTAGAATATAGTGTAATCTTTCGCATTTGAATTGAAGTATCATATTTTTATTAAAAACTCACATAATTTTGATGTACAAAATAAGTCTGATAATGTCATTCTCTTATTTTTCTCGAAACATGAATTTTAATTTTAAATGAAAGTTTCCAGAATTAATTATTTAAAGTTGAGTCCAAATTTAATAAAACCTGCACTTTTAAGGTTAATTTTTTCTTAATTATCGATTTTTTAAATTAAGTTTGAGAAATATTTACCATTTGATAATGTTCTTTAAATCTCTATATTATACATAAAGATAATTTATAATGAAATGAATTATATTTTCCTTTTATAATCATAACTAGCATAATGTAAGATATAAAAAAAAATTTTTAAATTATAGTTTTTTGTTATTTTAGCTAATGTTACATAATGATTCCAAAATTTTGATCATTCCTCTCTTTATCATAATTTTTTTAGTTTTTATGTTGAATGTAGCTAATGAGGTTAATAAAACTCAAACTTGAGAATGGAAAGAATTTTTGCTTTAAACTTATATATAGGTCTATTATTCTAAAGTTAATTTTCTATTATTTTTGTTTGAATAGCTCGGAAAATATTTCTAATCAGTTTATATTAATATTATTTAATCCTAAAAAAAATCTGTGTCTAAAATTTTAAACTATAAATGCTGTAGGAAAGAATTATCAATTCAATAAATAAAAGTTTGTTCATTTATATTAAAAACAATAAATCAAATACAATATACTTTTTTTATTAATAGTATCAACAAGTTTTTTAATAGAATTAATTTTGATTCCTTTAATTAAATTATCAGGTGATGAGTATTCTAATGATATTTATAGTTATGAGATGTTCTGTTTAAATATGATTTTACAGAGTTTAGTTAAAAATAACAATATATAAATAAATTTTAAGTTTTATTTAAAAAAAATATCAACTTATAGGTGATTGATTTTTAAACTTTAAGAAAATTTAGAAGTCTAACTAAATTTAAAACCAGAGAGACTTTTATTAAATAAAATTAAAAACAATCTCAATAAAGTTATATCTAAGGATTTGAAGATATATCAAAATGTACTTCTACATAATAATGTATTTATTATTAACATATGCTCGAGAAATAAGTCTATAAGTTTATGGGATGCTGGATAATAAAAATTATAATTTAATATTGGAAATTTTTGTTGAGTGTGTTCGTTACTGATTAAACTACTTTAGCATCTGGTAGTAAATCTATCGATTTATGGAATGTAAGATAGGATAATAAATTCAACTTAAGGTTTAAAAAATATGAAAATATTCTTGAATAATTTAAGATACAATTGTTATTCTAGATAGTAGTATGATATCACAAATTATTTGAAAGTTTATAAACTTAAAAGGCAAAGGGAAAAGCCAATGAAGTCTAAAATTATGAATTAAGAAAATAAAAATTTTTCTTTTTAAATATATTTGCATTAAAAGATAGTTTTAATACTTAATAAAATAATGAAAAATATTTTATATTTAAAAAATTTAAATTGGAAGTATTCCTAATATTTATTATCTTATTAAGTCTAATCAAATCGTAAATAGAATTTTATTAGAATTATAAATAATAAAATCATTAATTCCTAAAATATGTATTTAGGAAATTTTGTATCTGATTGATACGATGTTCAATTTATTTTAGTTTTTTAAGTTCTTTGTAATTTGCTGATTCAGTGATAATAAATAAGTTTTATACAAAATTTGAAAGAGGGCAGAATAAGCATTTGATTCTATTAAATTAGAAATTGAAAGTATGAGCTTCATTTTTAATGATTTCGACTTATTTATCTGTAAGATCATAAAAATTTATAATTTTTTCTTTCATTTTTAATTTTTCATCTATAAGTTTAGCTTTCATTTCATAAGTGTACTTAGCAAATTTCCACTTAGGTAAGTCTGATAGAAGTACTTTCACCATTAATTCTATACATTATAAGTAAAATTTATTGATAATATCAGGGCAGGTATATAAAAATTCATTTTAAAATCCAGATCTAAATTCTTCATAATCAACTTCTAATAATTGGGGTACATGATTATAAAACATGTTAGATTTAAGCAAATCAGTTTATATATTGTGTTGTTAATTATAAAACTACTTAAAGATTGGTAAACATGAAATAAATGTTTAATTAAATTAGACATTTACTCTTCTCATAACGGAAATTTCTTTGAAATTTAGAAAAATGGCTATATTATACATCACAGGTTTTGTAAAATATTTAAGGTAATAAATTTTATAATTTGAAGGTTTTTCCTGTTAGAGTGTTTTGATTTATAATAGTGATGATTTTTCATTTTTTTAATCAATATTTTTTTTGTTTATGTTTGATTTTATTTACTATTATTATTGGGATTTAGAATGTTAAATAGCGTTTTATTTTTGATGCATAAAGAATAAAATTGTATAATATATTTAATTAAGTAATTGAAATCGTAAAATTTTGCTTAAAATCTGACAACGATTCATTTCCCATTAAATTCTGATAATATTTCTAATTAATATTGGATTGATATTTTTTATATTGATGTAAAGGGAAGTATAAGGAAGGAATAAAAATTAATCAAAAAAACATTTAAAAATTAAATTCATTTTTTAATAAAAGGAAAAGATGAAGTGTTATATTTGGATATAAAATCTAATAATTATACACAATAGTAATAAAATTTATTAATTATTATAGAAAAGAATATTTTAATTAATGATTTCAATGTTAAATATAGAAGACACAACGTCGTTGANATAATAAATATTTATAATATAAGTCATTGAAATGTATAATGTAAGAATGATCAACAGCTGAATGAATCCAAAACGAATTAAGAATAAATTCATCAACAATTTCTGGCTTTTAAATATTTTGATAATTAATAAGAGATATCTTGGAATTATCACCAATTTATCTAATTTAAAGAACATAAGTAGACCCAAAACTAAATTAATATATATCCATAAAAATTGCATGTTCTTAAGCTACATACTCATCTGAGACCAAAGGATGAATAAAATTAATTTAGATTCAGGTTCAGGTAACCAATTTTATTCATCATAATAATTTCTTAAATCAAAAGTAAATATACTAGGTCTTGTTGTTTCATCATTTCAATTTCTCCAAATAGCAACTTAATGAGGGTTAATCCAGTTAGTTACATTCATAATTGTACATGAACTTTAATATTTAGTAGGAACTATATAGAATGCTTTCTTCAATAATATTTGAATAAATATTTAATTGTTTCATGAATTTCTGGAGGAAGTAATTCATACCAACTTTATTTTTAAATAAGAAATAATTTATATCAAATAAAATAAAATGTTAAATTTAATTTAAAAAATAATCATTGATATAGTTTTGCTCTTAGAATATATCATTTAATTTTTATACGAATATTTTAGCAAAAAAGTAGAATTTCGACAAAGCACACACTAAAAAAGGTTAGAATTAAGGATAAATAGAAAAAAAAATGTTTTATTCAAATTTTAAAAGTCCATTGGAAAACAGAATTTCAATAAATTTTTAAGCTTTATAAGGCATAAACATTAATGCTAAAGTATTTAAAAATATTTGCATTAAAAGATAGTTTTAATACTTAATAAAATAATGAAAAATATTTTATATTTAAAAAATTTAAATTGGAAGTATTCCTAATATTTATTATCTTATTAAGTCTAATCAAATCGTAAATAGAATTTTATTAGAATTATAAATAATAAAATCATTAATTCCTAAAATATGTATTTAGGAAATTTTGTATCTGATTGATACGATGTTCAATTTATTTTAGTTTTTTAA